GACATTTTGGATGTCAATCAGATATTTAAGGATTTAGCCATGATGATTCATGACCAAGGAGATATGATTGGTAAGTGTATTTGGGTAATAAGTTTTTTCTTGGTAGAGTTACTTGTTTTGCCAGTCATGGATTAAAATTTTCAGTACTTTGCATTAAAAGTATTGTATTTTTAGTTGTAATTTTTAAACACTGAAGCTCTGAAACATTTTGCAATGAGTTCTCCTGTTTTTTCCATAGATAGCATAGAAGCAAATGTGGAAAGTGCAGAAGTCCATGTGGAAAGAGCCAGTGAGCAGTTACAGAGAGCTGCCTATTATCAGGTAAATTCTGTGTGCTTGCTTGATTGTCAGTGTATAGTTGAGCACTAATGAAACAGGCAGAGCAAGACACTGAGGACTGCAGCACACCAGACTGCTTATTAAAACCAGCTCATGCAAGCTGACATTCATTCAAAATTGCCTGCAAGGAGTATATAAAGCACTTGAGTCAAAAACATGGTATTGAAATTCACCTTCTACCTTAGAGTAAAAGAGTAGAAATAGAGTCTGGCCCTTCACACTCTGCAAGCCTAAGTGTTTACCTTTCTTTGTTGTTGTTAGGAGTTAGCAGAAGAAACAAGAACAAATTCTGATATTGTATGCAACTTTTGAACATATCAGCCAAGACACTGACATGCAAAAATCTATGTCCAGACTCATGTCTGATCACTCTGGTGACCAGGATTTGCAGTACTCCTATCCAGCTGCTGAGCTTCTATCCCATAGTTTGTGCTCCATCAAATCTCTTGCAGTGGCTCTCACTGCTGTATGGTATCCAGTGTTTCCTGTAGGTTCCTGTCATCATCATTGTCCCTCTAGCTCCAGCTTCTGTGAAGGGCTAAGGGTTCTGCTTTAGTCAGTCCCATTACTGCTGGGACTTACACAAGAAAATACTGGACTCTTCCAGGCTGTTAAGTGGGAGGTACTGGAGGCAATAGAACTCCAGTGCTGTTGAGTGCAAGGGTGGGGATGTTGCTTTTACCATCTGGCAGCATCTAGTAGTAGTCTCTCTCTCCATGGCTTCCTTGCCAAAGTTCTGAGATATTTATAAATCTGAGTTTCAGAGCTGTTGGATATGTTTTGCATGGGTTTTTTTCTGGATGGAGAAATAAGCGGTTATATATCAAATCCTTAGATGCCAAGTTAAAAATATTTGGTGTATATGGATGGCCTGTAGTTTCCTGTGATGAATAAAGTGAGCAAAGCTGTAAAATCCAAATTCAGTAACTGTACATGAAATAATTTAAATTGTAGAAATGCAACACCAAGCCCAAGTGGCCAAGGGGAGATTGTATGTGAGAACTGCTTAGGAGTTTGATTAGGAAAAAATCTAAACAGCTAGAAAGGTTTGGCCTTCTCTGAGGCTTGTATTTTCATTTAGAGAAGCAAAACCTGTCAAATTTTGACTTAACTGCATCTCTTAGACCACTGCACTCCTAAAATTAAAAACATTCATCTGTAGAATCATGGAGTTTAAGGAACATGTAAAAGTGTTCAGACTGCACTGCTTACTTCTCTCTAATAACTGTAGGGGTACCAAGGGCTCTTGTTCACCCAAGTTAGTAATATGAATGGTAGCCTTGCTTTTTGCTCATGTGTTCCTGGTGTCAGTGGCTTCTTTTTTCTTCTCTTATTAGAAGAAATCCCGTAAGAAGATCTGTATCCTGATTCTTGGCCTTACTGTGGTCTGTATAATCATAGGACTCTTAATCTGGAAGATGAACTGAAATCTTCCCGTGGAAACCAGTCTCACAGCTGAGATTTTTTCTGTCAGAGCAAACAGGCTGACTGGTCTTGGAGCTGAATTGACCACCCTGAGAGAGCACAAGTTGGAACTACTTCTAATAATAGATATTAGCAACTAACGTGCAGGTAACTAGTATTTGGAATTAGTAAACCATGGAGACAGTATTTATCAGTTTATATACAAATTATATTGTTTTATGTAACTAAAATCTTGTGGGCTTGCTTTCTGTAATGTGTTCTTCCCTGTCCCAGCTGTATGCTGAAATGTGATCAATAATTGGAGAGGTCTTGATTTTGACAAGTCGCACAACTTCAACATTTTGTACACGTAGGTAACTTTGTTGGACCGGAATGAGAATGCCATTCAAAAACAGCCCACCACCAAGTCACATTATGTAAATCCAGCAGTTTCTAAAGTCTCCAGTATCTGCCCCATGGTTTTCTTGTCTCCAAGTGGCTGTGGTTCTAGATTCTCTTGAAGAAAAGGATGTTGTCACAGATTTGAGAGGCAAGGAGGGTATGTGTGGATGATGATTTGAACATGCTGGTCAGTTTAGCCTTGAGACTCATAACTATGTTTAATTTTTTTGGGTGTTGTTGGGGTTGTTTTTTATTTCACAAAATGCATCACTTGAGGACAGAATGTTCTTTTACTTAGAATAACAGTGCAATCTCCTTAGACAAACTAGCTGGTTGCTTGCTAGTGGACAAAAAAATCTCTTCCAATGCTGACTCAAGCACTAAATATTAAAAGTTTAGCTGTTCACTCCCAACTGTTTTTAGAAGCTTCCAGGGGGAAGGAAAAACACTTAAAAATGAGGAAGTGGGCACCTAAGTTTACAAGCTAGCAACATTAGTGAAGAGTGTTAGCAGAAATCTTGATTCTGAAGAAGTGCTCTTGGAGTTCACTTGTAGTGTTCTAGTAAATATTATGTGTGGCTTGTGAACATTTGGTATTTTCAAATCTTTATGAAATAGAAAGCGCAGAATCTGGCTGAGTGAAGTGCTAGGTTTTTCAGACTGGGGACGTGTGTGCAAATGAAAAGGATGCTGGTTCCAGCTCATAGGGTTGGGCAGAACCAGCAGCCACTCCCCACTTCAATGTAGCTCTGAACTGACATGCACTGAGGGAACAGTAATCTGTCCAAAGCCCAGTGGGGGTGGTAAATGCAGCATACTGACCCATTTTGTATTTAATCCTTATTCCATGTCTCGTCTATAATAAAGTAAACATGAAAGCTGGGAAGGGTGTGTTCTCCCAATTGCACAGTGGTTTGCACTATTGCGCCGTCATTCCATCCAATAATTATCAATAAACACTTTTAAAAGCCTCTGTCAGAGCTCATTTCTCTTGCAATTTACGCATTGGCACAGGTGTGTTTGCAGAGTAGAGGACTTTACATCAGCACAGTAGTGTTTCCTGCAGTTTTAATTCTGTGGTCCCTGATTTTTCAGAATGAATATCCCTGAAATCACGAAATTAATTTCCAAGGACATACACAATACTTCTGTGCAGAGTCTTGTACAATAGGTGATCCCAGAAAAATTAATCTCATACCTCAGAGCAGCATTGGGTCAGCTCTATTTGCCTTTTGCTAGAACTTGGAGCCATTTGCGAGCCTGTATGATAAAATCTGACTTGAAAGCATGTGATCTTTGTGTTGTTCTGCTCCTTTTTTAAAGTTTTCCTTGGAAATGGTAGGAGCTATTGATTTGGAACCTATTGATTTGTGCATGCCTGCTGCCAGGCAGAGTCCTTTGGGTGTCACACTGCCATAGAAGAACAAGCTTTAGTTTGCTTAGGTCACCAGACCTAAACGGGAGCATTATTTTGTGCTCCATCCTTCTCCTAGCCTGTTTTAGTCCTCTGGAAATGGGAAATCGGATGTGCGTTCGACCCCTGCGGGAGTTTCGGGACGCGTTCCGGCATCCCGGCGGGCTGTGAGAGCCCGGGGCCACCCGGGACCGCGGCAGAAAGGCCGGTGTGCTCGTACCGGGCCGTGCCCCGGGTTCTGCCCGGACAGAGGCGTTGTCCCCGCGGTACTCGGTACCGGCAGTGTCCCCGCGTTCCAGGTCGGTACCGGGGCTGTCACCCCGTCCCAGGATCGGTACCGGCGCTGTCCCCCTGTCCCAGGGTCGGTATCGGTTCTGTCCCGGATCGGTACCGGGGCTGTCCCGAGGTCGGTACCAGCTCTGTCCCGGGTCGGTACCGGCTCTGTCCCCCTGTTCCCGGGTCGGTACCGGCTCTGTCCCCCCCGTCCCGAGCTCGGTACCGGCTCTGTTCCCCCCTGTTCCCGGGTCGGTACCGGCTCTGTCCCCCTGTTCCCGGGTCGGTACCGGCTCTGTCCCCCCCGTCCCGAGCTCGGTACCGGCTCTGTTCCCCCCTGTTCCCGGGTCGGTACCGGCTCTGTCCCCCTGTTCCCGGGTCGGTACCGGGGCTGTCCCGGGTCGGTACCGGCTCTGTCCCCCTGTCTCAGGGTCGGTACCGGCTCTGTCCCCCTGTCCCGGGTCGGTACGGGCTCTGTCCCCCTGTCTCAGGGTCGGTACCGGCTCTGTCCCCCCCTGTTCCCGGGTCGGTATCGGCTCTGTCCCCCCCTGTTCCCGGGTCGGTACCGGGGCTGTTCCCCCGTTCCCGGGTCGGTACCGGCTCTGTCCCGGGTCGGTACCGGCTCTGTCCCCCTGTCCCAGGGTCGGTACCGGCTCTGTCCCCCCCTGTTCCCGGGTCGGTACCGGGGCTGTTCCCCCGTCCCAGGGTCGGTACCGGGGCTGTCCCGGGTCGGTACCGGCTCTGTCCCGGGTCGGTACCGGCTCTGTCCCCCTGTCCCGGGTCGGTACCGGCTCTGTCCCCCCCGTTCCCGGGTCGGTACCGGGGCTGTCCCGGGTCGGTACCGGCGCTGTCCCCCTGTCCCGGGTCGGTACTGGCTCTGTCCCGGGTCGGTACCGGCTCTGTCCCCCTGTTCCCGGGGTCGGTACCGGCTCTGTCCCGGGTCGGTACCGGCTCTGTCCCGGGTCGGTACAGGCTCTGTCCCGCTGTCCCGGGTCGGTACAGGCTCTGTCCCGCTGTCCCGGGTCGGTACCGGCTCTGTCCCCCTGTCCCGGGTCGGTACCGGCTCTGTCCCGGGTCGGTACCGGCTCTGTCCCGGGGGCGGGGCTAGCGCTTGGGGGCGGGGCCAGCCCTTGGGGGCGGGGCACCTTTCGGCCCCGCCCAGCGGCGCGCGGGGCACGCCGGGACCGCCGCGCGCCGCTCGCGCCTCCCATGGTGCCCCGCGGCGGCTGAATGGGGCAGAGCCAAGATGGCGGCGAGCGCGGCCCCGGCGGGCGGCGGGTCCCTGTTCGAGTGCCCGAGCTGGTGAGCGGCGGCGCCGAGGGCGTCAGGGGCCTGAGGGCGCGGGGCTGCGCTCCCCGCGGCCGCTGAGTGCTGGCCGGGCCGGCTGGGTCAGGGCGCGGCCCTCGGTGCCGCCTTCGACAGCGCCGCGGGGGTCCGGGCCCTCCCTGGGGTGCCGAGGTTTTTCCTCAGAGCTCAGGCAGAATCCGTGGTGTGGTAGGAACTAGATATCCTGCTCGGGAGATGTGTGCGGTACGGGAAATCTGTCAGCTTGGAACTAGGCTGGCGTTTTTGTTAGCTTGAGTTCAGCAGTCAGGGCTGAGTGGAGTGCTGGAGACATCGCGACCATGCCTTGGGCTGGGTTAGGGGTGGGAGAGCCCTCGCTGGAAGGGATCTCTGAAAACGCCCTGCCTCACCCTCCTGTCAGAGCAGAGCTTGGCATCAGGGTGCCCTTGTTCCTTTGTCCTATGTTTTGGTCATCGCTGAAGAAGTTTTGGCTCTCCTGCCTTCTTTGGGTGCCGCAGCACTGGGATGGGAACGGGGGCAGTGGGATGGGAACGGGGCACTGGGATGGGAACGGAGCTTTGGGATGGGTACCACAGCGCTGGGATGGGTATGGGAGCACTGGGATGGGTAGCACAGCACCGGAATGGATGCTGGGGCACTGGGATGGTACCACAGCACTGGGATGGGTACCGGGGCACTGGGATGGGTGCTGTGGTATTTTAAATCACACAGGCACCCCACCCCACCCCACCTGAGAGCTGAGTTGTGTGCTCCAGCCCTGCCTGTCCCTGCAGAGCCCAGGCTGGCCCTGCTCACCCAGCTGTGTTGCACCTCTCAGTGCTTTGTGACACTGCTCAGTGCATGGGTGTGTTGTCATTTAGACCTAGTTTTTAAGTACATGCTTTAGTTGGTAAAGCCATTAAACTTCCCATGGAAGAGAATTCCTCATGTATTTTAGGGTCTTATTGTGCTGAACATACACAATAATGATCATCTATATGAGACAGGATGGTGTTCCATAAGATGATGACACAATAAACCAGTTAAAGCCAAAGATTATTCTGGATATTCAACTTGAAATTTAAAGTATCATCCATTTTTTCCCCCTAGTGTTTTTATACAACAGTGATCACAATGTACATTATATTCCATGTAAATTGGAATTATTTGTACTTTTGAAAGCTGTAGATGGAGGAGCTGGGAGAACACAGCTTGTAAAATGCTCAGTCTCAGTGGCTTGCATGCTATTGTAGAAGAATTCCTAAAGGAATCCCATCTGGAGGAGAGAACTGTAACACCTGTAATTGTGAGAGCCTCTTCAGGTATCTGTTTTGTGTCTTACCTGCAGCAGGGCAGGGTCTGACAGAGAGAGTTTCCCTTTTTCCTGCCCTGGTTTGGTTCTGAAGCACGGTCTGTTGTGCTGGATGAGAAATGAGGTGGGATCTGGGAGATGATCCAAACCCAGGGGTCAGGGGGGCATGTTTGGGTGCCAGGTCCTGTTGTGTTCTCACATTTTAAAGATTTTTTTTTTGTGATTCACTTAGTGCAACCTGAATCTCCTTTTACAACAATATTCTAAAGTAGTTTTGGATACAGCAAAGTTCCTGTCTGGACTCTCTCCTGATACATTGTAAGGAAACTTTTTATTTTCTTTTGGACTCTGTTGTATCCTTGCACATTAAAATGGTTTTAGGGACCCAGCTGGGCAATTTGTGTGTCTGTAGCTGTGAAGTAAAGGAGTGCCTGAGACAATTTGGTCTTGTCCAGTTGGCACATGCAGACATGGCAGCTAACACCACTGAAAGCTTTGTGTTTTTCCTTTATGTTGCTTTTGAAACCCAAAAGCTGTTTCATAAGAGGAGAAATAAAAAAGTGAGCTAGCAGGAAGCCAGCCTGGAGAGCTCCCAGTCGCAGTGTTTGTGTTCTGAACAGTGAGCCCAAAATGGGAAGTGTTGGGTGATGCTGACTGGTGACAACGATGGCCTCATCCCTTGGTGGAAGTGGGGAGCTCTCCTACCAGCTGGATTTATTTATTTCTGGTTACTTTTCTGTTCTGCAGAACAAGTAGAGTATATTTCGTGCTAAAGTTCTGGATGCCTTCTGCTGATATTTGCTGAGCTGCAGCTTCCAGCTCACGGTTTTTAAGTATTTGCTCCTTTCAGAGCCAACCAAAGAGTGCACAGATATGATGTGGAATCAGTCTGGCTCTTTCCCAGGTAGGATTCTCCAGGCTGGAGGTGGTTTTCAGGAGCAGGTTTGGATCAATAGTGGTCTTGTTCAAAGCTCTGGTTTAAGAGGATATAAAGGCACCCTGCAGGAAGCCTGGTCTTAAACAAGCACCACAAAGTCTCCTATGAAGCATTGTAGGGCTTCATTCCAAGAGCTTTGGGTGACCAAAAGCATGGAATTGCAGAGTCTTCACACTTAGAAGCTGATTCTTCTGTAATAAATTATCTTCAGTCTCCTCGACCTCTGTTAAAATCAAAATCACAGTTTTTACCTAAATGTTTATTTTTCTGCTTCTAAGGAAAACTGGCTGGGGCCTGTGAACACCAATCATATAAGAAATACACCTTAGATGTACATAATCAAAAAGAGTTGTTTTTTTCCTGGCCTTTAAGTTGTTGCCCATGCTTTGAGGGCATGAGGTTTGTCTCTATCATTTTACCTCTTCTTCCATAACTTGGATAGTATCTGAGTACTCCATTTCCAGAAAAGGCTTCTGCACTGAAACTCCCAGTTTTCATCCAATTTGTGGCTTTGATTTAGTTTTTGTGCTGTTGGAGGTTACTTCTTTACAATCATACAATATTTGTTATTTCTTTCCTCGTGTTTCCAGCAGCTAAACTTAAGACAGATGAAAAACAGTGGTTGCCACTTGAATAATATTTGCTAATGCCAGAACATGTTTATGCATTTACTGTAACTCCTCTGTACCTGTTAGCCAAGATTTGGGCTGTGCATTTACAGCTGGCATAAAGGGGGTGCCACTACTTCCTGTAGATTAAAATTTAACCATTCCATGAGATCAGAAAATGTCTTTAGATAACAATTAGACATCTTAGTTTGATTAAGAATTTTGCAAACTTTCTGAGCTGGCTTTATGTAGTAAAAGTGATTTCTCTGAGGTACAGGTTATCTGGTGTATAGTTTTGAAGTGACCATCAGATGTTTAGTGGATACTACCTGCCTGTCCTTTAGTCCTAGTGTAACTTGTATTTGGAATTGTGACTCTTTCTTTACTCTCTTTGACACATTAGTAGTGGGGATGTCAGGTTTGTCATGCAATGGACATACATTAGAAATAGTTTGTTTGAAAGCAGCAATTGTTTGTCTTTAGCTTCTTTGACCAAGAACTGGCTATTCCTGATGATGCTTTCACACAGATTTCTGGAGAGAATGAGCTCCAGAATTCTGCAAATTCCACCCTGTCCTTGAAGTTGAACATGAAGGTGTATACATGAGTCACAGAGGCCAGGATTGGTAGGAAGTGCCTAAATTTAGGTTCTGAGTCCACGTTTTGAAACCCAAATAATTGACCTAATTTTAAACTAACACAATAGAACTATGGCTGTCCTGTCTATGTCCTTAATAGCAACAATTCCAAAATTCTTGTAGTGACTTACATCAGTCAGGCTGCTGAGTTTCAGCTGGATAGAGATATTATAACCCTGCTGGCAGTCAGCATTGAATCTGCACTGTGGAAGAGATTCTAATTTAAAAAACTTCAGTTCTCTTACTTGGCACATTCCAAAGTGTTCATGGCCTTGTCCTTCTTTTCCAAAATGCTTTATCTTTGTTAAAGAGACATAGCCTGGCCTGTGGAGCATGAGGTGGAGAAAACAAGGAAACCAAATTTTCTGTTTCTGGTACAGAAGACAGATTTCTTTGCTTGTAGGTATTTAAATCTTTTAAAAACCTCTGCTGGAAGCTGGGTTTTTTTTTAGTGGTATCCCTTGTGGGTATTTACTGCTGATCATTGTAAGCAGTTGATGCTGGTGAGGCCAGCAAATCCATGTGTGCAGCTGTGGGAAAGCTCAAGCTGGGAATGCTCCTTCTCTCCTTGCCAGGCAGCTCTGTAAATTCCCTGGAAGGTTTCACATCCCCCCCAGGAGTTCCAGGATTCGGGGGGCAGGCAGAGCATCCCGGGTCTCAGTCATACTCACTCACCTAGTGACCACACAGTCAGTGCATTTGCAGGTGTTATTTTCAGGTCACTCGCAGGGTGCTGCCCTGGGGAGGCACCGGGGGCTGTGATGCACCATCTGGAAGGTACAGAAAAAACTCCTCATTTTCAAACACAAGCCCTTGTGCTGGAGCCAAGGAGAGCATTGGCCTTGGGGCAGTGCTAAGGGCTCTTTGTGTTCTGTAGAGAACACAATCTGCTGGCCTCAAGTAATTCTCCATCCTTCAGAACAGTGCAGGAATATCTGTTTAGTGGATACTTCAGCACATAGTGGAATTAGTTTAGTGGAAAAGGACTTTTTTAACATTGGACATAAAATAGGAAGAAGCTGCTCTCCTGTAACAGCATAAGGCCAGCTTTCTAACAAACCTTCTTGTAGGAGATTTTTGCAAGAGATTTCCTTTCATATTTTACTCTTTGATCCATGGGGAGAGAGGTCTGATGGGGCAGAGCATGTGAAGGGTGACTGATACTTCCAAATCCAGGCATTACTTCTGATCTTTGGTGACTCTGGAGCTAATTGGTTTTGAATATAATACTGAAAAATCTTCCTACTTTTTTCATTAAAAGGCTTTTCAGGTATCTAACTTGGGCAGCCTGAACTGTGACATCGACTTAAAATGTTCCAAAGAACTTTTCTGTCAGAAATTACTTCTGTGAATTTGTTTTCATGGTATCATGATCAGTATTTACAACCTTCCTGTGTTCAGTGTTTTGCAGGAATAGGTAGATGGGGAAGTACTGCCTACAAAGGATTCTCTACAGTCCAAAAGAAGCCAGAGAATAGGTAGATTTTTCTAGCACTTTAATTCATAGCTGAAGGCACTGCCTTGTAATACTGCTGGGCTTGGTTTATCTGTTGGAAATAAAGTTGAGGGTAGAGGCAGAGTAAAAATAAGAGCAAGGGTGAAACTAAAGGTGGAGGGGGCAGTGATAAAGCAGAGCTGGTATATAGCAAAAGAAGACCATGAGACAGGATCCTGCTGTGCTGGAGCTCTTGGGGGCTCTCCTTGACCTGACAGGTACAGGGAAGAAGTTGCTAAAATGTGTTAGGACAGGCTGACCATTGAGTATCCAGGAAGAGATCACTGGAAAGGAAAAGCAGAGGCCAGACTGAGTAAGAAGTAGACTTGTAGTATGAATTTGTTGAAAGGTTGACCTATTTAGAAAGAGGAAAAAAACTGGGGAAGTAGCTGTTGTTGGATCAGAGTAAGGCTGGTGTGTGAAAATTACCAAAAAGTTGGGTTGCAAAGTAACCAGAACTTGGCAATTTCACAGGAAGGGGGGAAAACAAGTTTTCCAGTGCTCAGGGGCAGAAAGAGGGAATCCTGAGAAGTGGACAGGAATCCATGAAAGGAGCCTGTGTCTCAGTGAAAGCTGAGCACTGAGATCTGCAGGGAGCACAGGAGGAGACAGTGCTCAGGTGTAGCCTGGCTGTAAGCTGCTCCAGCAGTACTGAAGAGGAGGAGCTTCCCTGGCAGTGCTGGAGGAACTTCAGCTCATCACACAGACTGTCCCACCTCTGAGAGCATTTCTGCTTGGTGGTCTGTCCCCCACATCACCATAATCCCATTTCACTGGTGAAGTCACCACTTCAGCAAATTGGGCTGGAGTTTAGCATCCTCTGCTTTTGCTGCTGCTGTTTTTTCATCTGAAACAATAGGAGTCAGTATTAACCATATGCTTGTTAGGGTGGTACATCCACAGTCTTTGAGAAGGGCCTGACAAGAAAACTTATGAAAGTCCCAAGTGTTCAGTTGAGAAAGAGCCAGAGAGATCTGGGCAGCATAGTGTAATGGCTTGGAAATGAGAAAGGAAAATGCCTGGGAAAGAAATTAAGTAGAAATAACAGGAGACTGTGCTCTTACATTAAATTATTGAGGGGAGCTGACCTTGCAACACAGAAGAAACCAATAAATGTAAGGCACACCCCAGAAACGTGAACATCTGTGTTTAACCCCTTCAAACAACTTCACCTACCAGACCTTTCTTTCTTCTGCAGCCACCCTGAGAGCATCACTGCCCATTGTCACTGTTCCCTGGGCTGGCTCCATGCACTGAGCAGAATGGGAACATGATCTCTGCAGAGTTCCTCAGCAGGGCAGCAGTGCAGCCAAGAACTAGGTCACTGCTGCTGCCTGGAAAGCTGGTCCAGACTTAGAGACAAGCAGCAGAGATGTTACTGTGAGGAAGTACTAGAGATGCAGATTCTGAGATACCTGAGCAGGAAAAGATCCTGTGTGGTGCAGGTGGCACGGCAGGGTCCTGGCTTTGAGCACTGTAGGTGCCCAAGATGTTCCTGCTAGCCTGTGAGAAAATTATGGGATTTTCATATTTTTCCCAAAATACTTCTGCTTACATTGGTGTAGGTTTGGTCTATAGCTCAAGCAGCTCTAATACTAATAAAATTTGTATTAAGTGTTTTGATACTATATTTTACCTTTATTTTCCAGGGCAGGGAAACCACCACCTGGCTTACATCTGGATGTAGTCAAAGGAGACAAACTCATTGAGGTATGGAATTAGGGTTTGATGGATTCGGTGTATCATGTACATAGGCACCAGCAGCAGAACATTCATTCCCCATCATTTTCCATGCTTATTCATAAGTATTTCCTTTCTCTCATGTATTCATTACCTTCAAATCAGTTTTGTTTCCTCTGAAACAATGAATGAAGTGACTTTTCCCTTGTCTGTGCAAAGCAGCCTTGTTCCATGAAGGGCTTCCATCAGTTAAACCTTTTCCCTTTGTACTGCTTGTTTGAGAAACCTGTCTAGTCAGTTAATTTTTTTATTTTGCATTACAGTCAGATTAACCAGGCATCCTGTGTTTTGCAAGAGTGCTGCTCTGTCCTACAGGGTGAAATATACTTTGATTTGATTTTTCCTCCCACATTCAGGATCTGTGAGCAGTGTTGTAATCATCACAGATACAGCAAGTTATTTTTATTACAGCACCACTTCATTCTCTATTTCATATTTTAACTTATATCACACTGAAAGTAATAAGTAAAGAAAAGTCTCTTTACCATTGTTGACAGAAAGAACCAAAACCAATGAATGTATTTCTGCTGTGGAGAGACTCCTAAATTGAAGCTGACTAAAACAGAAATATTTCTGGGTGTAGTGGTTTGACACTGGCCAGATACCAGGCACCAAGTCATTCACTTATCCTCTCCTGCTACAGTTGGGCAGGGGAGAGGGAAAAAAATTAATGAAGGGCTCATGAGTTGAAATAAGGATTGGGAGAAAAAAACCGCTCTAAGGGCAAAACAGGTTCAAATTTAAAGGTATAAGGTAAATGTGTTATTAAAAGAGTCAGAGGAGGCTAACAAGAAGTAAAGTAAGCTTTTTTCCTCCCAGCCTCTCCCTCTTTCCCACCAACAGTGCAGGGAAATTTGGTGGGAGTGTGAGGGTTTTGGTCAGTTCATCACTTGACATCTTCTGTTTGCTCAGGGAGAGGAGTCTTTTCTCTGCTGTGCCATAGGGTCCCTCCCACTGGCAAACAGTCTTCCCAAAACTGCTGTGGCATGGGTCACTCATCCATGGGATGCAGTCTTTTAAGGCTGGGCTGCTCTAGTTTGGAAGCAAAAGGCCCTTTCTCTCCACTGGGGTCTCCACTGGATCACAGCTTTTTCTGGCATCCACCTGCTCCAGTGTGAGCCCTTTTCCCACAGGCTGTGGGTGGATCTCTGCATCCCCCATGGATCCCCACAGGCTGTGGGTGGATCTCTGCATCCCCCGTGGATCCCCACGGGCTGTGGGTAATCTCTGCATCCCCCGTGGATCCCCACAGGCTGTGGGTAATCTCTGCATCCCCCATGGATCCCCACGGGCTGTGGGTGGATCTCTGCCTCCCCTGGGCATCCCCACAGGCTCTGGGTGGATTTCTGCCTCCCCCATGGATCCCCACAGGCTGTGGGTAATCTCTGGATCCCCCATGGATCCCCACAGGCTGTGGGAGGATCTCTGCCCCCCCAGGAATTCATGGATTACAGGGACACAGCTGTTTCACCACAGTCCTCCCCACAGCCTGCAGAGGAATCTCAGCTCTGGCACCTGGAGCACCTCCTCCCCCTCCTGCTCCGTTGCCCTTGGTGGCACCATGTTGTTTTCCCTCATGTGTTTTCCTCAGCTCCTCTTCTCTGTGTAGAAGAAAAAAACACTGCTTTTAGGTACCACTGCCAACAAGTCCCACTAATTTAAAGATTCGTGCAAGATCCCGTAGCACCGAGGCAAGCAGCACTTGGATGTGATCCTTGTGGTTCCCTGTCCAATACAGGTGACAGAGAGGTTTTCAGGTTTGTCTTTTCTGGTAGCCAGCAGTGACCAAGGAAGAGCATTGTAAAATCCTGTGGGGTATTGAGCACTTGATACTAACCGAGCCATCGGTGTCCCAGCCTCGTGCAGAGGCCTGGGGTCACCCTGTGATCGCTGGGTCTGCAAAGTGCAACAGCAAAACAAGCCATGCAGTGTTTAAGCTCAGTGTGTGAAGGAAGACACTGGGTTATAGCTCAGAGGCACAGAACATTTTGGAAACATTGTTGAATTAAAGGCAATAAAACTGTCTTCTCTGTTGGTGATTTGTTGCAGTAACTTCCATGAATTTGTGTCTTTGCAAAATCTCTTGGAATTGCTGCCCAGTCAGGGCAGTATTGTTTTGTGTGTAACGGGTGCAAATGAAAACTTACAGGATGCTTTTGGTTTCAGCTGTGGGCAAGAATGAGAAATGGTTTGATCAGTTTTTATGGTAACTGAAATTGTGAGGTAACTGCTTGCAGGGCTGATCAGTGTTTGTGCAGGAATTAGCTTCCACTTGGTATCAGAGCTGTGTTTATATAAGACTTACTTTCAAATTTACAATAAAAGGAAAAGTTAATACTAATTTTTTTTTTATACTGTGGAATCATAGAATTCACTAGTGCAAAGGTGTTGTGCACGGGAAGAGTCAGAGTGCTAAAGCAAATGAGTAAGGAACTGCTGAATATGGGATATAAATCTAATGCTGGGAGATTAAATCCACAGAAAACCTAACCAAGGTTCCTCAAAAGATGTGATGTAACAAAGTTATATTGTTCTTGGATCAATATCTGGATGAAACAACTCTAATCTTAAGGGAAAATATCAGTAAGACTCGTGAAATTATGATCAAGAAATGCAAGGAAAAACCTCCCAGAGGCATTCAGGGAGGAAATGGAGGGATCTGTTTACAGGTGGAATTAAAAAATTAAATAAAATTCAACTGGGAGGAGACTACATACTAGTTTAAGCTCTTCATCTGTGGCTTATACTTTGGTTAATTTGGAGGTCTTGTGAAAACCAGCATTTGTGAAGAGACAGAAAGTGATGATAAAGTGGCCAGGTGAGAGCAGAACCCAATAAACTCAATTTAGTGATTTCTCATGGTTTTAATCTGAATATTCTGAGGCTTTGAGGTGCATTGCTCTGCACCAGACAAACCAATTCAGGGGAGACACCTGCATGTTTTACATCTCTCAGTTGGAGGAAAATCACTTGCATTTTGCATTTGCACTTCATCTGTCAATAAACCATGTACTTACACATGGATTGCCAATTGAGCTGTTATTGCTGCCTGAATAAATGAGATGTAGACTCACAGAGATTTTTTGGGGGGTTGAAATCTAAGTATTGGCACTCTTTGGGATTTTCTGCCAGCCTGTGTATCACTAAGGGGATTGATGGAGTTATCATTCTATCTAGCTGTTTGTTTCTACAGAATCGCTAGAAATTTAATAATCTTGTAGTGCTTGTTGAAACTGGCCAGAGGTTTAGGAGTTACTTGGTTTAGTAGTGGGTGTTAGAGCTGATAAATATGCACACCTTGATCACCTGAATGCTCTTTTTTTTTAAGATGGCAGGCCAAAATATGTTAGTGAGTAGATTTCACAAAGCAGTTACTGTCATGAATTGATGCTTTAATTGTATACCTTGGGTTGGGGGGGATAAGACATTTAGCAGAGTATTATCTAAGGGACCGATCAATCATAAAATTGTCATGATGCATACAAGTGTGGAGTCAGGTTGTTCAATTAATTCTTTTAAACATGCAGAAATAAATGCTTATTACTGAATACCAGATGATGAGAACTTGCAGCATGGGGGCTGACAGAGAATTCAGTAGAACGCAGGAAAATCCAACCTGAAAAATACACAGCATGTGTATGGGGGGAAAAATCAGAAAAAAAACAGTGGGGAAGTGACTTGTGACTGTAGCAGTGGTAAAACCATAGCTTGTAGGTGGGTGAATAGATGAGATTGACAAGGTGTGTGCCTGGCCAAGGGAGGAGCAGACACCTGCCTGACTGGAATGCTGCTGCCAGAGAGGAGATCCCGGGATCACCCACCCCGTGCCTGGAATCTGCTGCTTCCGTGGAGCTGCTGGGACATGCAAAGGCAGACTGATCCAGCCAGGGAAAAAAAGGCTTTGCAAGCCAAAACCTTTGCTCAGACACGTGGCAGTGGGATCAAGGAGGGGTTTGAATAGCTGGGAAATCCAGGTGCTCAAGCAGGCAGAATGTTAGTTCATCTCAGACCACCTCTTGAAAGCAGTGTTCTCCTGAACCAAGATATGGAAGATGTATCAGCATTCTCTGGATGATGCTACTGAAACATGTGGGCTTTGGAAAATGTTTGAGAAAGCAGGAGAACATCTGTTAACAGATATGTAATGTGCAGCCAGCCTTTGCATTGTGCAGCTGGAACAGGAAAGTACAGATTAGATTAAGTTATTGGGATGCAGTGAGAAGGTTCTGCACAAGCTTCTCAGTATTGCAGCATTCAGGTGCAAGTGTTCCTTTAACAACACAGTTTGGTCACTTGAATACTGTAGGACTTGTCACTATGTCCCTCCCTTTATAAAGATGTTTATGTAACTGATAGTAAGAATTGTTAAGATATTTTTTTAAAAAGATATTAGAACTAGGATCAATAAAGAAGAAATACCTGAAATTAATGGTTTACTTGAATAGACTAATATGGATTCAGATCACAGCACATACTCAGTGTAGTTTTGTCCCTTTATACCAGAGGTCTGAACTCTCCTGTAGGTCCGTTTCTGTTCAGAAGTATAATTTTGATGTCCTGTGTCAGACTGGAGAGCCAAGCACCAGTTCCTGTCTTAGACAAAGCCTGAAGTCATCCATGGAGGAATGTGTTAAAATCTCTGGGAGCAGATGTCAGAGAAAATCTCCTGTATGAGGTAGTCTAATGCTTTGAAGAGTGACTGTCCTTCCCAGAATGTCCAGTGTTGGCTGGTAAAAAAGGGAATAACTGGTACTCTCCCATATTCAGCTGTTCTGATTTTATAAACAGCAAACTTGAGTTTATGTATTTAACAGTGCCAGACTAAACTGAAATTTTGATGAGCTGTTGATGCTTTGTCTTGAATTTGCTCTTTTTATTCATTTGTTCTTGAATTTTTTTCAGGAAGATCCAAAATATTCTATGAGTCTAATGTGCTTCTCTGTTTGATATTCTGCCTCAGAAACTCATCATTGATGAGAAGAAATACTATCTCTTTGGGAGAAACCCTGATCTGTGTGATTTTACCATTGACCACCAGTCTTGCTCTCGGGTCCATGCTGCCTTGGTCTATCACAAACATCTCAAGAGGGTTTTCCTCATAGATCTGAACAGCAGTAAGTAGTGTGGCATTTAACCAGGCAGAAGAGCTATGCTTCGGTGCTTAAACATTCTGAATATGAGACACTTTTTCCTTTTCCATTGTTGTCTGCACTGTGGGCAAATGGATGTAATTTGAATTTGCATTGTAAGGAAAGACAAGGGTTAGGGCAAAGGAGTGTTTGCTCCAGTCAGCCTACAGCTGCCTCACAGGGTGTTTCAAACATTTCTACCTTGTAAAAGGCCAAAAGAGAGGAGGAAAGTGACTTGACCTTCCCATCACAATTTTAGAAGCCTTGTCTTCTGAGGGTGATTTCCCAAGGTCTAAAACCTGTCAGGTGTTTTATTGCACTGTCCAGACAGTACATTGGGACCTGTAGGAATACAGAAAGTAAAAGGTGTTTGTAGTTTATTTCCAGTGATTTTTGGAGGATTTCTGGTGTGTGTTATCTCAGTTTGTGAGATGGTAGGTCTACATAGCTGATGCTTTCAGCAGTACCTCCGTGCCTTGTACCTTGGAACATTTCTGAGATTCTCAAACTTGAACTGCAGTACCATGATCCCAAGCTCAACAGACTATTTTGCATTTTGATGTCCTCAGCACATGGCACGTTCTTGGGCCACATCCGTTTGGAAGCTCACAAACCCCAGCAGATCCCCATTGACTCCACGGTTTCCTTCGGAGCCTCCACCCGAGCGTACACTCTGCGGGAGAAGCCGCAGACGCTGCCCTCCGCAGTGAAAGGGGACGAGAAGATGGGTGGTGAGGATGAGGAGCTGAAGGGCTTGCTGGGGCTGCCAGAGGAGGAGACAGAGCTGGATGTGAGTATGATGGCACACTGCCTTGATGGCATTTCCAGCAAGGACAGCAGTCCCTGCTCGTTTGCTTAGTCATGGAATCATTTAGTGCGGGGACGCTGGACTCCAGGGAGGTTTGGGTGGATGGAGATGAGAGATCTCTGAAGGCTGCTCTGAGAATATCTGGTTTATCAGAGAGGGTGAAAGGCCCTGCTTGGAGTCACCAGACCTGACCCGTGGCAGGCCCGAGGGAGTGGGGGAAGGGAGAGGCAAGGGGTAGAGGGAGATAAGAGAGGATCCCAAGAGGATTTTCAGGAGAGGGGCAGTTCCAAGAGAACAGAAGTTCCAAGAGAGCGTCTGGCTCCTCAGGGACTCCTTGTCAGGGGCTTCAGGGTGAGCTGGAACAAGACTCAGGCCAATGGGGTCAGAGACTCCTGATGCTTCAGCAGAGGGTTGCAGATGTGGGATGACCCATACATTTTGGGGAGTGAGAACAGTCCATTTAACCTCAGGGCCTATTTGTAGGTAAGGGCATTGTTCAACCAGAAGGGGGGATTGTCTTCATCCTGGCTGTACTATTGTTTTCTAGTTGTTCAGTAACTAAGGTTTGGTATCTCAAAACTTGTTACCATCTCAATCTCTATATTTTCTAAATATTTTGCCAGGCAATCATATTTATAAGGCTTTCTTGTTTCATCTTCCCCAACAGTTTAGGTTGGAAAAGACCTTTAAGATCATGAGGTCCATAAATCTAACAGGGAGGTTGAAACTAAACAATGTCCTGTGGTCTTCTGATGTGCACAGTCATGTGATTAAATCAGACTTCATACATTAGTTACTCCAACTCTTTCATTTCTAAATTTGCTGTTAGAATCTGACAGAGTTTAATACAGCCCACAACAAAAGGATCTCCACGCTGACCATTGAGGAAGGAAACTTGGACATCCAGAGGCCAAAGCGAAAACGGAAGAACTCCAGAGTGACGTTCAGTGATGACGATGAGATCATCAACCCGGGTAAGGAGTTTGTGTTAATCTGCAGCTGATACCCTTCAGGACTCCTTCCAGCATGCTCATAGGGATTCCTCATGAGTGCATATGGATAAGGAGAAGATAAATTTGGCAGCCAATATTTGGGATCTGCTATTTCACAGAAGCTGCCGCCATGTCTCACTGAAGTCTGGGACCTCTTTCTGTTTCTTCTGTTCTACCTGAAAAGTAACTGCAAGCTCTGAGCAGGATGGGGATATCAAACTCAGCTTCATTGTTCAGTACTCTGTCAGATACTGGAGAAATGTCGGGTCCAAAAGGAGGAAGGTGGCTCACATTTGTTGTCCTCTTTAGAATCTCAGTGGGAACAGAACTTGTTTGCTTTTCACCTATCCTTTAACATTTTCTTTACCTGTTGCTTCTGGGATGTCTCAAGCTCAGACGGTTTTTGCTACTTTTCTGCACATCTGAACCAAGGCATCCCTAATCCTCATTCAAACCAATGCATTTGAAGATGTATCCAATTCCAAATTAGTCTTTTTTTCTCCCTTAGCTGTTCTGTATTAATGGCATTCTTATCAATCATACTTTATTTGGATAATATTCCTGTTAATAAGAGCAGCTAATTAATAGGCAGGTATTTTGAAATACAGTGTGGAGGTGGTTCCTTTGGCACCCAGAGCAACCATTTTGGTTTATAATGTGATGCACTTCAGTGCTCAGAACATCCTAATGCAAACACCAATTATTCTCATCCCAAAAAAAAGGATAATTTTTCCAAACTTTCGGAGACTGCTTCTGACTCCTGCTTCAAGGCCCCCCAAGGACTTTAGGGACCAGCTGCTGTGCCTTTAGCACATGCAGAGCCTTGTCAGCAGCAGCTTTCAGCCCAAACTCCAGCCTGTCTGATCCCAAACCACTCATCCAGCTGCTCCCATTCCCCATTGGAGGGAAAGCCAGGGTGCCTGATGAGCCACCTGGAGACAAAGCCACTGGATGTTCCTCCTTTTATTTGCTCACACTTCTGCTTAGTGGGAGGTGCTGGAGTGCTGGCTTTGGGAGGAAAAGGTCTGTTCCAGCTTTTCAAACAGAGGTTGTTTTTCCCATGTGCTCACTGGTGGCATCACTGGTGGTGCTAACTGGTGGCATCACTGATGGCATCACTGATGGCATCACTTTCTTGCTTTGCAGAGGACGTGGACCCGTCTGTGGGGCGGTTCCGGAACATGGTACAGACAGCAGTGGTCCCTGTTAAGGTACGGGGTGACTCCTGACTTTCTCTTTAGCACGTTACATTGATGAACTCACTTCATGATTTATGAATTGCACCTTAGACTGCTCCCACATGGGAGGTGTTTCACTGTTAAGCAGAAGTCATGTTTGTGTTTCACAGTTGTCTTTTTTAGCAAATTTGACCATTTCCCTTTGAATCCAGCTTTAGCTTTTTTCTTTAATAACACATGGGATCAATGGTGATTTTTTTTTCCTCTCAAAAAGAAACACTTTCTAGAAATTTAGTGCATTAGTTCCAGGTGAGAAACATGGAAAATAGAAGGGAAAAATGAGAGTTTGTTTGACATTTCATAAGTTTGTGTACTAAAATAAGCAGGTTTGGGCTTTGCTCCAAGATGAGTGTGCTGCCAGTGTTCTATTTAATTTGAATATGCAAGGAAAAAGAAAAATCTGCACAACTTCAGCGCAGCTAAGCCACTGTGTAACAGAAATTTCACTTGTTGGTGGTATAGACTAAATAACATCATGTGAAAAAGGATGATATTCCACAAACACAGACTGCAGGAGAAGATTCCAGTGATCAGGAGCAAAATTACCCAAGTGATTTAGAAGTTGCAGTTTCTTTCTGTGGGGAAGGGAAGGTTTGTGTTACAATGCTCTCAGGCACAGGGTGGGACTTGGAGTGTTGTGTGCAGGGCCAGGAGTTGGACTCAGTGAGCTTGTAGGTCTGTTTCAACCCAGGACATTCTGTGACTTACCCAGTCTTTGTTCAGGATGGGGACTGGCAGGAGTGTAATGGAGGTGAAGAGGTGCTCAGACTTCATCTAAGCTACATCTGAGTGTCAGCTTTTGTCTCCCTTCCTGCACTGTGCACCTCTAAGAGTTCCTGTGGTTTTCAGGGGAACTCAGAGGAAACCTTGCAGGACAAAGACTGGGACATGGTCTGTTGGCACTTGGTGCCAGATTTAGGTGCCTCTTGGAGGAAGTGGTCCTGGCACCCATTTTAAACAGGTTGATGGTTTCATGCATTGTGACTGATTCTGTAACTCCTCCTGCCTGCAGAAGAAGCGCCTGGAGAACGCGGGCTCGCTGCCCACGGACGAGTCGGCGTCACGGCGCATGCAGAGCTTCCCCTACAGCGGAGGATTGTACGGGGGGCTGCCCCCCACCCACAACGAGGCGGGGTCGCAGTCCCACAGCGTCCACGGCACCGCGCTCATCGGGGGGCTGCCAATGCCCTACCCCAACCTCGCCCCCGATGTGGACTTGACTCCAGTTGTGCCCTCCACAGTGAACATGAACCCCGCTCCAAACCCCGCTGTCTTCAACCCTGAAGCTGTGAACGAACCCAAGAAGAAGAAATACGCCAAGGAGGCCTGGCCGGGCAAGAAGCCGACCCCGTCCCTGCTGATCTGAGTTGGGCTGAGGGAGGGTAGGAGTTACCAACTCCAGAAACTTTCATGTGCGGTATCGTCTTTTTAAAATTTCAGTGTCCTAACAGATGTAATACCAAGATTGGAGGAGTGAAATATCCTTTAAAGATCTGTCTTCAAATGTTTTTATATGTCTGTTATAAAAAAAAAAAATACAGTTCCTGTCTCCTTTTGAACCAAAACCCCTACAGCCTTTTCTTAGCCACCGCTGTCCCAGAGGTGTCTGTGCCGAGTTTGGATCCATGAGTCAAAGGGGCAGTCACACAATTTCATTGTCACTTATGGCATGACCCTGCAGGTCCGTGTATTTCAGTGCTGGGCTCACTGTGGTGACACTGTTCCTGCTGGACATTCTCACAGCAGGGCAGCTCTGTCAAGAGGAAATGTTTGTGGGGCCAAGCCTTGCAGAATCCCATTGGAAGGAGTTGTAAAACTTGCAGAATATAGGTCAACGTTTATTTTTTATATTTTCAAAACCCCACCAGTGTGGGGCATCATCTTTTTTATTATTATTAGTTCAGCTACAGCTTGTTTTGATTTCCACATAAAACACTAGATCATCCCATGAGTTGAGATGGATAAGCAGGGAAGCAGGTGGGTTCCTTAGTTTTGTTCCAGTGCTGCAGAATAGGGACTGTGGGATGGATACAGGGTGCAAATGGTTGGGGTGTCCAACAGGATCAGGCACTGTGCCATGGTGACTCCCCTGAATAACCAGGGTAAAGTTAACACAGTGGAGTTTGAGACTTGATGGCCCCTGTCACTTAAATAGTTTCATTTTTATTTGCAAATGGAACTTTAGAGTATATGAGATTCATCAAGACAAAAAGCTGGGAGGACTGGTGTGTTCCCTACACCTAATATTTTGGCTGCTGGGAACTGCAGGAGAGAATTGAGTGCTACTGAGAGCCAGAATAGGAATTCTCAGTGGACTTGGGTTGTTGCTCAAGCCCTTTAGTTCCTTGGGTTTATATTTGAAAATTATTCACATATTCAGATATAGCAAGGTAAGGCCAGAGCTTTGTACAGACTCTAATGCAGTTCAGCTACAAGTCACATTCCTTTGCTGTTTGGGGGATCCAGGAAGTGTGCACCAAAATGAGAGCATGTACCTGGCTGTTCCCTGTGTGCAGGACTGCAGCTGTTTGGGGAGGTAGTGGCAGGTTGTTGGGGCAGGGCTGTTCAGTGAGCTGGGATGCTGGATGCTGCTGTGTTCCAGTGAGCTGGGATGCTGGATGGTGCTGGATCAGTGCTGTGTTCCACTCAGATGGGGTGCTGGATGCACCAGACCCGTTTCAGACAGATGCCCCAAAGTCTTGAGTTCTGCTCCACAATAATTGCTTCTATCATGTCCCTGAGGTGCCAGCAGGCAGCTGCCCAGCTCACAAGAGCCATGGCTTTAGAGACTGCTCTGTTCCCTCCCCACACCATCACATGCAGCTCAGCCTGTTCCTTGTGTGGATTCAGCACCTGCTCCATGATCCAGCTCTGCTGCTCTGTGTTTAAGTTGCCATTGATGATTCAGCTGTTGGGCATTTGTTCTGCTTCCCAGTGCTCCCACAATGACTCAAAATTTCATCTCTATAGTCTGGCCTGTACAGTTTTCATTTCCCAGCCAGTTGCTTTCTGAAGGCAACTCTTTAGAGTAAGATTAGTCAGGACAAACAAAAGTTGAGCAGGTTTCCTTCTTTTTATTTTGGGGATTTTTTTGTTTTATTTTGGGGGGAAGAGGGTTGGGGGTTTTTTGGTTTTTTTTTTTGCAAGTGGCTCTTTGCAAGATTTTTCTTGACAAGGGAAACTTCACTGCTCATTTTTTTAAAGCTCTTCTCCTCTCAGACTCTGAACCAGCTCTTATTATTTCAGAGCTTAGAAGCCACAGCTGGCCACGAGGGGACAGGAACATCAAGGAGCTTTGTACAGACATTTGTACACTTGTGTAATATGTAATAGGCCTTTTCACACTTCTGTTGAGCTTTTTACCTGTAACCTTTACTATGTTGTAAATTAAATGCAGATTTTGCCAGGTTGGAGAGTGTAGTGTGTTCGTTCCAGTTTGCAGTGGTACAGCTGAGCCTGCCTGTCGTGCTGTGGCTCATGGGAGGATCCTGCCATGGCAAAGTGCCCTTCTCCCTGCGGACCTTGTCCTTGGGCTGCCTCAGGCTGCAGCTCCTAAAGCTGCCCCAGCTGTGACCTGCTCTGCTGCCTCATGCTGCACTTCGGTACACAAGTGACACCTAACAGTGGATTTTGAACAGTGGTTGCTTTTGTTTTCTGAGTCGAGTTTTATCTGGTTCTGGCACAATCCTCTTTGTAAGTTTAGTCCAGAGCCCAGCTCTGCTGCTCCCATTGCTCAGCCTGCTCCTTCAACAGAGCGAGGCCTTGGGCAGGCTGAGGCACCGTCCCCTGTCACAGGCTCTGCAGCCTGCCCTGGCCTCTCTGGGCTGTCACCCTGCCCCACCTCGCTTTGCTGTGGAACAAATCCAGCACAACAAGACTTCCAGACTCACCAGCTGTGCAGACTTGCAAAAGTATGTGCCAAAATAAGGAATGCTGGCAGCAGCCTCTGGAACATGTGGCAGCTCCCTGCCCTCACCCCTTGCCAGTTCATGTCCATAGGGAGGCTTGGGCTTCATCTGATTTGTGAGGCTGCCCCAGCAGTCCTGGCAGAGGGGAGACCCTCCTTGTTGCAGTCACTTTGGCACAATAAGGCTTTCAAAAACAATGCTCTTCACACATCAGGCTTCTCTAGGAAATTTCAAATCACACAGCTTTTAGTAAACATTGCCAATTTTGTCCTGTTCTCCAAGAAAGTTCTCAATGCCAAAATCACCAATTCACATGTAGTGTAGTGTGATCTCATGCCCTTCTTTTCTCTTGCTGTTGGCCATCACAGCACTCGCTGAGGACTGAGAAATCCTAAGAACATACAGAAAACCAAAAGCCAAACACTGCTGGCAGCAGAGGCAGAGCTGTTGGTTTTCACACACTCATCATACTTTATATAATCGACTTCCCTGATGGCACACAGGTGATCCACACGGCATTCCTGCTGGCAGGGCTCCAGGTCATACCTGGCAGAGTTAAACTCATAGTACAGCTGCAAGTAGTGGGGGTCCCTGGAGAGCCTCTGCAGCACCGTCTGCATAGAGCGTGCAGAGCCATCAGGGACCTGGAAGGCTTCTGTCAGCCTGTACTCTTCTTCCCACTCTGGGAACTCTTCCTGCCCTGCTGAGGCATTCTTGTTGGCACGAGTAAGGTTCAAGTAGTAAGTCACCATATCCTGAGGGAGAGAAAACAGAATTGGGGAGACATCGGGACAAGATTGGCTCTGGAGTGAGACACTGGGTCAGGCTTGGCCCCCACCCCAAGGGCCCAGCTGGCCTTGACGGGGCTTCCTACCAAGATGGGCACCTGGGAACACCCTCCAGAACCCACCCCAAATGGAGCCCGTTTCCTAAGGAGTGAAGGCGTGGCTTTGCTCTGCTTGACTTTGACCTCCAGACATCAGAAGCTTTGAGCCTGGCCTGCTTCAGACATGAGTCAGTTACTATCAACGGTGCCCAGCAGAAGCAAGGGCTTACATGAGTGTTACCGAGCAGTTTCCTTCCCAGCTGTGAACAAACTGAAGAATCAAGTTTTTCACAGCTTCTGTTCTCTGTTTCTTGCCCTTTTTCTCTCTGCTTCACTGACTCCCCAGCCTTGCACAGAATAGTTTAGCATTCACTTCTATGCTATAAACATGTAAACACAGCACTATAGAGAGCTTCATCCACTACAAAGGAGGGCATAAGCACCCATCCTCCACCTCTTGGCAAACAAGAGATGCTGCCCCTACAATTCACCTCAATTCAGATCCACTCCAAATGCATCATTTTAGCAAGTAGAGGTACACAAATAATTTTTCAGATGGTTTAAAGGTTTTGAAGGGTGTCTGACAAGTTTGTTATTACTCAGAATAGTTCTGTTATCCATATTATCTGGGGAGCAAAGCAAGTGTCAAATGAAACTCACTAAGGACATAAAGAACACCACAAAAACTGTCTGACTCTGCCTGGGGGAACTCATCCTAGCAGGATGCACTGGCTGCCAGGGCCATGCTTTGACTCACTGATACTTTGACTAAATCTTTGTGCCAGACATGAGGCTGAAATATCCTGGGTCAGAGTCCTCTCCCACACAGCCACTCAGCTTCTGTGGACTGAGAAATCCTGAAAGGCCTCTGCTGACTAGAGGGGGGATTAAAGTTGTTCCAGAGCTGCAGTATGGTGCACACAGGATCCCCTACCAAGACCTGCAGGGTGTCCTGATCATAGCTGACCACCCGAATCGCAGGGTTGTTGGCTCCATTGCTCACTCCAGGTAATGTTGTTTTCCAGGGAGTCACTCCAGGGGCCAGGAACATGACATTGATTGGAGTACCTTCACAGAAATGCAAAGCAAACTGTGACTGGAGACCACAGCTTGTCCCACACGCTGTCCCCATCCCAGTGAGCCCCTGGAGCAGATTGCACTGCCAACAGCACCTTTGTCACCAGCTCCCAGTACCACCACACACACAGATTAACACGTGGAACCATGCTGGGGACTGAGCACAGGGAACGGGCTCTCCAATGCTGGCTAAGGCTCTTGCAGTGAGGGTGGCTAGGGAACCACACTCAGCAAAGATGTTCGCCCAGAGCACCCAACACACACACAGAGATTCAGCACTGCTCCCTCAGCAATGCCCAAACCCCTCAAGAGGGAGCAGGCAAGAAGCTGCCAAGCACTGAGGCGAAACAATATTTGAGGGTGAATAGGAAGGAGGGCAGGAGCTACAGACTGGGGGTAGAGATGAGAACCACTGCTGCCTCTTGTTGCCCAAAGCATGTCAGATGCTTTTGCTGGCTTCTTAGCCGCTTTTAGCCAACAGCCACAAAAATCTCTGATGGACAGTGCTTGTGAGAGCTGTCAGAGCTGTCACACAGGTGCTTGGGTGACCAGAACAGGTACCTGTGGGGCTGTAGAACATGCGAAAGCTGTCGGTGTGATGGTGCCCAAAGAACTGGGCAGCGATCACACTGTGGTGTTTCTGCACAATGCCCAGGTACCGCTCGTTAAAGTCCCTCCGGAACCAGGGCTTGCCCCGTTTCTTCTCAAAGAAGCCAGGGGGGACGTGCCCCACAATGTAGACCTGCAGAAGCAAGAGCTGCCCTGAGCACAGAGCCCACACCACCCATGGAGCACCAGCCAGCTGCAGCTGCACCCAGAGGGAGCAGAGCAGGAAGAGCTTCCAGGCTGGGGAGAAGCCCAGGTTGTTTTTTCAGTCTTTTTAATACCATTTCATCTGCTCTAGAGGCGTTGGTCAGTGTTTCTTCCAGCCACTGGAACTGTCCCCCAGGATCCTCCTCACCAGCTGTCTCATTATCCTGGTCATAGTACAGGTTGGTGTTGAGGACAACCATCCGTCCCCTCATCCCTGGGCCAGGCAGCTTCTCGCTGTAGAAAGCACCTTAAAAATGCAACCAACAGAGGAAGAGCTGGAGATCTGCTCACGTTGGTGGCTGTGAGCCCAGATCCCATTGTTTCCACCTCTCTCTGTTCTCCTTAGCAGCAGCCACAGCAGGGTCACTGCCTGGGACGGTGCCCTGACCGCTCCAAGATGGGGATTTGGAGTGACTCTTCCCTGTGTGTCTCCCCAAGTGAAAGGAGACCTGAATGGGTACAATGGGCAGCATCAGGAGCTGGGCAGCCCTGGAGAGCCCCAGCATTGCCTGCACCAGCTGCCACCTTTAAAGATATTTTTCCTCCCTTTGCAGGTCACCACTCTGCATTCTTTCCAGTAACTTGATAATGGTAGAAGAGACTAAAGTATAAAATGATTTCTCTTCTTGCAAGCAGAGCTCCAAGACAGAAATCAGCATTAAATTGGACCCTACCTCTGCAAATTTTCTATGAATACTGCTGCTCTGAGCACAGAAGCAAAGAAAATTGTTCATGGTATTCTCCTACCCCTCCTCATATCCCCAGCATGCTCTAAACACGAGCCAGTGGTGCCAGACCTGCTCTGAAGAGAGGAAGGGAGGCATCACTCAGCCAGGGCCGCCACAGCTCTGCTGTTTGTTTGTAGATCCTGTGCTCCTTCCCAGGAAACTGATTCTTGGGGTGGAAGTCATGATTGCCCATCGCTGCGTAGACCTTGGTACCTGGAGACAGAGCCAAGGAGGGGCAGGGGAGGTCAGTGCTGCAGAGCTCCTCCAAGCTCTCCGAGGCACTCCCAGCCTTGGGAACAGAGCTTTGCCAAGGCCAGCCACCCTCTGCCCCGGGTGACACTGCCCAGGGCACCACAGGACTCTGACCTGCCCTTGGGACAAGCCACCCAGAGCCAAGTGACTGAGCTGTCACCAGCAGTAACGCTCCTTGTCCCCTGCTGACACAGGTTATGTCTGAAGTTTCCTGCAGCCTTTTTTGCCTTCATTACTAACAACAGAAACCCTTCCTTTCCTCTCTGCTGAGTGAGCTAACCTGAAACATGAGTGTGCATCAATGCTGTATGGCTCAGCAGAATTGAGGCCACCAAACAAGTCCCACTGACCACAGCCCTTCTGTGACGTTCCCTGTCCCACTTCTGTCATTTCTCCATCCTGGTTAACCCTTCCCATGAGTCTCTATGCCCCTCTCTCCCTCTCATCTCCTCAAATCCTACCTGGAAATGTCTCTTTTATCAGAGTAGTCAGATTTGCTATTATGTGCAGAACCTTTTCTTCTCCGAGCTCCTCATTGGGGACATGGGGAGTGTCATCTCTAGAAAAAGAGAGCACAGTCACTGTCTGGGACTAACAGGGTCTGTACTTACAGCAGTGAGCAAGGCACAGAACTTGCCAACTCCTCTCTGTGACTCCTAGAAGAGAAAGTTTAAGGTTTTAGGTGCAGAAGTCAGTGCTATGTTGACTGGCCAAGACACTGAGGGAGTTTCAAGAAATCGCTCACAGGAAAAATGAGCCCCACTGCAAACTTGCCAGAGTCAAGGAGTGCTCAGACAACACTCTCAAGGATGCACAGGGTGGGATTGCTGGGGCGTCTGTGCAGGGCCAGGAGTTGGAATCCATGATCCCTGTGGGTCCCTTCCAGCTCAGGCCGTTCTGTGATTCCAGAATTCACTTTACCTTAAAACTCCTGTGCAGAAGGGTGTGAAGGGGAGGCTCCCTCTGCCTAGGCAGCACTAAAGCTGCCTGGAAACACTGCAAGGGTCAGCACTTTGCAGTCTGAGGGCATTTGATCTGCAACAATGAGGCAGAGCTGTTTGTACAGCTGTGATCACCATGAAACAAGGAAATACTCTAGTAAGTCAGCAATCTAGGGCTGCTCCATGTCTGTGTTTGCATTAACATGCTTACAGCATTTGTAGAAGATGCTGGGTCCACAAGCCCACTGGAGAGAGAGAACATGTCAGAATCATGTCAGAGGACTGGGGAAATTGAGGGAAAAAGAATACTCAACATAAGGTCACAAGAACAACAACTACCTCTAAGTAGGAACAGGCATCTGCAGTGACAGAAAATGAAAACATGGGACAGGTAACAGCCCTGAAAACTGGAACTGGAGATTACTGTGTATATATCCTTCTTCTGATAGTGCAGCCTCAGCTTGCTGGAGATTACAGCAAGCTGAGGCTGCACTATCAGAAGAAGGATATATACACAGTCACCATGCAAAATAAAGCTTTAACCGTCTGTAAGTGCTATTGAGGCCTCCCAGAGGACAGGGGACCCACCCGTGGAAACCATACCAGGAGAGAACATCCTCCACTGGGGAGGTTCTTCTGACTCCTGAAGCAGAACTGTCTCTTTAGGTCTCCCATCGCAGCCAGAAGAAACGCTGCAAGCTGGTTTACAATGCTCTCCTCCCACAGCTGCTTCCCCTGGGCACTCCAGGTGCTCGGATTCACTGTGGGATCGGACAGGACGCACCGAGGACGGACAGCGAGTTGTGATCCTTTTGTCACCTCACTGCCACGAGCGTCTCGCCAGTGTCGAGCGCCCTCACTGGGGTTGTGCTTTCCTCCAAGCCCTTGTTTCGCATTACGAGGCACGCTCTCCCCTCTCCTTTTCAAAGCGGGGACCACGGAAAGAGCCCCGACACACCACGAGCTCCGTGTGGGCTGCACCGCGCTTCTCCCGCCCAGCCCCGGTGTCCCTCCGGCGGGCCCGGCCCCTCTCACCCGGTCCAGAGCACGAAGTCCGGCGCGGCCAGGCGGTGCCGCATGGCGCGGGCGGCCGAGCGGAGCAGCCTCCGGGGCGAATCGCACAGATAGCTGCCCCACGGCCCGGCGGGCCCGGCCCGACCGCCGCCCGAGGGGCACGGCCGTCCCGCCGCCGCCGCCGCCTCGTACCCGGGGTCCCAGTGCAGGTCCGTGAGGTGCCAGAACCTCCCGGAGCCGCCGGCCGCACCGGGCAGCGCCAGGGCCAGTAGGTACAGCAAGGGCAGCAACAGGAGCTCACGCGTGAGCTGCATGGCAGACGCCGCCGCAACGACCGACCGGGCCGGGGACGACAACCCCGCCCTCCCCGGGACGGGCCGGCACCACAACCCCGCCCTCACCGGGACCGGCCGGCACCACAATCCCGCCCTCACCGGGACCCCGCCGGCACCACAACCCCGTTCTCACCGGGACCGGCCGGCATCACAACCCCGCCCTCAGCGGGACCGGCCGGCACCACAACCCCGCCCTCAGCGGGACCGGCCGGCACCACAATCCCGCCCTCAGCGGGACGGGCCGGCACCACAACCCCGCCCTCACTGGGACCGGCCGGCACCACAACCCCGCCCTCACAGGGACCGGCCGGCACCACAACCCCGCCCTCAGCGGGACCGGCCGGCACCACAACCCCGCCCTCACCGGGACCGGCCGGTACCACAATCCCGCCCTCACCGGGACCGGCTGGTACCACAATCCCGCCCTCACCGGGACCGGCCGGCACCACAATCCCGCCCTCACCGGGACCGGCCGGCACCACAACCCCGCCCTCACAGGGCCCCGCCCCTCATCGTGCCAGGCCGGGCAGCGCCCGCTCTCAAAATGGCGGCGACGGCGGCTTCCCCGCGCTCTCCTCCTATTGGACGGAGCCGGAAGGCCAAGGGATGCGATTGGCTGCCGGCCGGCAGAGCGGCGCTCCCGGATTGGGGGGCAGGCGGCGGCGCGCGAGGCCCGGCGCGCGGGCGGGCGGCGGCGGTCCCGGAGCGGAGCCATGTGGAGCGGGCACGGTGCGGGGCCGGGCACGGTGCGGGGCCGGGCACGGTGCGGGGCTGGGGGACCCTCCAGGGGACACCCCGCTCCGAGAGCCCCGCTTCCCGTGATGGCGGCAGCGCTGGGAAAGGGACCGTGTCCCCGCCACCGCGTGACGTGTCCCTCTCTCTCCCCGCGTAGGGAACTTCGATGGCGGGTACGGCAGCATGGGCGGCGCGGGGCTCCCGGGCGGCTACACGCAGTCCCCGGGCGGGTTCGGGTCGCCCGCCGGAGGCCAGGCGGAGAAGAAGCAGGTAGGCCGGGCGGGGGCGGCGGGACGGGCCCGGGGCCGGGACCGGGACCGGCTCTGACGGCCCCTCCGCCGCTCGCAGCGGAGCCGCTCGCAGAACATCGTGCCCTGCACCGTGTCGCAGCTGCTGGCGGCCGAGCAGGTGGACGAGACCTTCCGGATCTGCGACGTGGAGATCTCGCAGGTGGGCGCCGGGGCGGCGGCGGCCGGGGCGCGGCCGTGGCCGGCCCGAGTGACCGACCCTTCCCCCGCCGCAGGTCACCGTGGTGGGCATCGTCCGGCACGCCGAGAAGGCGCCCACCAACATCCTCTACAAAGTGGACGACATGACGGCAGCCCCGATGGACGTCCGGCAGTGGGTTGATACTGATGTAAGCTTTGGATTTGCTATGAACGGGCTTCTTTAGCAGCTTTGGAGAGCAGTGGGTGGGGAAAAGATGTAGAATGATACAGTGTCTCGGATCATTGATGAACACCAACTCCCTACTTCTCACAGAACTTTTTGAATCCAGAAGGTGTGGCTTTTCTGGAAAGTATTTTAGGGATAACACGTCCCTGAAATCAAAGGGAGGTCCTGCTGCAGCAGAGATCACTGGCGGTGTATATGACTGCCTGTTTAGTATAGCTGAGTTCACTTGAACAGTTTTGGGAGGGTAACCAGGCAGATGTTCAGCCTTACAGCAAGTTTAGCATGCCATAGGAATACACGTTGTTTGTGCTCGCTTGAGATGAGCCTTCCTTGCTAAGTTGCTTCTTGTGACTGTTGAGAAATGGAAACAGGAAACAGCAAACCTGTTTTTCCCTGTCTGTTAGGAGGCAGGAGGTGAGAATGTTGTAGTACCTCCAGGAACTTATGTTAAAGTGGCTGGTCACCTTCGATCCTTCCAGGTAAGAGCATGTTACCTGTGTGTGAATCTTGTAGCACTCCATGTAGCACATGTGGTACAAATGTTCAAATAACAGTGTATGTGCATTTAGGCAAGGTGCAGATAATTCCCAGCTGGTTAGAAAGAGGAGTCACTCTGTCTCCATTGTCTTTCAAAATCACATCTCTCCCCCGCTGCTTGCTTGCTCCCAGTGGGATGAGGGGAATCAGAAGGGTCAAAGTGAAAAAAACCCATGAGTTCAGATAAAAGCAGTTTAATAAGCAAAGCAAAATAAGGAACTCATTCCACACTTCCCATGGGCAGGCAGGCGTGCATCTTCCTCCTTCTTTCACCAGTTTTTTAACTGAGCATGACACTGGCTGGTCTCTCCCGTGGGGCAGTGGGGGTCCCAGCTGTTTGCCTCACAGCTCCTTGTCCCCTCCCAGCCTTATACTGGTAGAGTTGTGTGAGAAGCAGGAAAGCCCTTGGCTCTTTGCAAGGGTTGGTGAGTAATGACTAAAACATCCCTGTGTCACCAACACTATTTCCAGCACAAGTCCAACACCAGCCCATGCTACTGTACTGTACTCCAGCCAAAACCAGCACAAGATGTGAGCCATAACATTTTGGATGAGCTGCATACAGAGAAGCTCTCTCCCCACTGCTGTCCCACCCTCCCGCAGGAAATGGCTGGGTTGGATCTTAGGCATCGTCATGTTGCTGTGCTGTAAATTGTTTTCTTTGTTTTGTGTTTGGTTTGTTTTTTGTTTTTGTTTTTTTTTCCCTCTGAAAGAATAAGAAGAGCTTGGTAGCATTTAAGATCATGCCTCTGGAAAATATGAATGAGTTCACCACACACATACTGGAAATTGTCAATGCACATATGATCCTCAGAAAAAATCTTATGGTACGTACAAAGACCCTGATTTTATTGTGGCCCGTCCTGGGTGACTGGTGATCTCCCAAAGAGGGACCTTCCACTGGGAAAATTCCTTAATTTTGGGGCTGGAAAGCTTAAAGCTGAGCAACACTGAAGGTGTAACAGGAGTCCTGGCTTCCTTGGAAAGAGACTGCAATCCACTTCCATAAGAAGCTAATTTTACTTACTGGCTTAGAAATAACAGTGAGTCTTTAACTCTGCGGGCTTGGGCAGCCTGGGTAACCACAGCACTTTTATTCTCTTAATTCCAGTCAGCATCAAGAGGGCCACAGTCATTTTCCTCCACTGGGATAAGTGACATGGGGGGCTACGGAGGAGGTGGCAGCCTGCCAGTGAACGGGCTCACAGCGCACCAGAGCCAGGTGGGTGCCAGCAGCTCTTCTGGGAGCACTGCAGTGGCAGCAGAGGCTCCTCCAGTGTGATCTAGTGTGGTTCTTGCTCATCCAGGTGCTGAACTTGATCAAGAGCTGCCATGTCCCAGAGGGGATGAGTCTACAGGACTTGAAGCTCCAGCTCCACAATATGAGTATGTCAACGATCAAGTAAGTGTGTAGAAATGAAGGATGCTGTGGAAATCCAGGCAGTCCTTCCAGAGGCAGAGAGAGCAGTGGATAAGCCCAGACACTCACCTGTGAATCAGGGTGGGTAATTCAGGTGGTCCCAGCAGCACAGGAGCCAGAGCTTTTGAAAGATTCACTGCCCTGAATGAACTGTTGCCAGTTGCTTTGCTCCTTGTTTTCAAAACAAGCTGTTTATCAGTTCAGTGGCAACGTACTGCAGTGCCTCAGTAGCATTTCTCCTGTTCAAAGACTACCCTGCTCTCTGATAAAAATCTAGGAATAGTCTCTTCTATTCTACTTCACTGTCTCTTACAACATCTTTTTGAGACTTAAAAAAGTAGTCATTAGCTTCCATGACCTTTGTATGTGTGGATGTCAGCCTGGTCAGGGAGAGAGAAATGGCAATCGTTTCTCACAGTGGCTTGTGAGAGTTTTTAGGGAGCTGTAGGAATGTGATAACCTGTTGGTCTAAACAATATTCAGGTAGTGTTTTTCCACCTTGCTTTTCTGTTCCTCTCAAGGATGGTGTGCGAGAAAGATGTTTTTATTAATTAGCCGGTCAAATAGAATGTGTCATGTGGGTCTATTTAAGCCGAAGTTTCCCTTTCATTAAGGCCACCTTTTATTCCTTTTCACACGGTGTCCTCATCTGTTCTTGTGTCATTCTTGGGCCAAGGGTGACATGTATGTTCTGTCCCCTCTGGAAGAGTGGTGGGTGCTACCTGTGAAGTGCAGAGTGGTGACTCAAGCAGAGCCTGAGCTTCAGAGGGAGCACACTGCCATAGCTTTGGAGAAATTTCCTGTCACACCACCCACAGCACAGAGACACCAAGAGCTTCCCTTGGCAGCTGCCCAGAGGGAGCTGTGGGGATGGGGTCTGTAAATAGGAATCACTTGGCAGAAAGGTGGTGACTTACCTCCCTTTGGTAACTAATTGCTAAGTAGTTACCAGCTGTGGGGTTTTTCTTCAAGGCAAGCTGTGGAATTCCTCAGCAGCGAGGGACACATCTACTCCACGGTGGATGATGATCACTATAAGTCGACAGATGCCGAGTAAAGTTCCTTCCGTCTGATTTTAGTTCCAAGCAAATGTTTGTCCATGTTTCAAGATACCTTGCTGAGCTCTGTTACATGGAGGGTGACGTTTGCTCTTTGTGGGAAGTCTTGGTTATTCACTGAATGCCAGCTCCTTGGAATTCAAGGATGAGCAGAACATGTGATTCTGTAATTGGACCTGATTCTATGCTGTGACCATGTGAATGAAAGCATGAACAGACATGGGAAAACTGAACTCCTCAAAGCCTGAGAGCTTTCACTTTGTTTTGGCTCCTTAGAGAGTGCCTGTTAGAAAAAAGAGCCTCATTATCATTTGTCCTTTATTTTTAGAGCTGTTTCTCCTAACTCAGATTCTGTTCCATTTTCTTCACAAAGTGGATAGCTAAGAGTAATCTTCCACTAATGCACAGCAATCATGACAAGATGTTTTTATTGTTTAGTTTGTGCACTTAAATCTATATTTGTACTACAGCTGATCTTGTTAACTAGAGCTTTTGAACTTTTCCAATAAAATGTTAACTTGAGGCACCTTGCATCACATTTGACTCTAGAGGCCTGTCTGCCTTGAAGAAAACTGCTTGACAAAACCTGGGGATAAAAGCATAGCTCATACTTTCAGTTCACCTATTAGTTTTTCCTTAGCTTTTTGGTTTGGAGGTTCAAACTGAAGTGAATGTCTGGCCAGTAAGAAATTAAATAATTGTACTGCTGAAGAAAACGTGTATCAGTGTTCCAGATAGGGCCAGAACCATTTCTGCCACCAAAACAGACTCCCCAGGGAAGGGGTCATGGCCCCAAGGCTGCCAGAGCTCAAGAATTGTTTGGACAGCACACTCAGGCCAGGAGTTGGACTCGGGGATCTCTGTGGGTCTGCTCCACCTCAGAACATGCTATCCTGTTTCATAAGACATGCATGCTGTGCTTTTAGCTGAAGCTGAAATGAATTACACCACGTGAAACAAGATTTTATTCTTTAAACCATTTTTTAAGCTTAACAGAAAAACAATTAGGATATAGGTTGATAGTGGTGGTGGATTGAGATGAAGAAAAAGGCAGGACTGATGCTTCAGCCTGGCTGCCCCCGGAGCACAGCGCCGGTGTCCCAGCCCGCCCTGACCCACTGTGGCGGGGCCAGAGCGAGCGAAGGTGCCGGGAACCGGGCGGGCTGGCGGAGCAGCCACAAGGGCAGTGTCCGAGCGGCCACAAGAGCAGTGTCCGAGCAGCCCTGCACCTTCCGAGCGCCCGGGCACCTCCACCGCGCTCGGGCCGGGCGGGTCGGGCCGGCGTGGGGAGGGACACGCGAGTCCGGGGCTGCAGGGCTTGGGGTGCTGCAGAACCGCTGCGGGGGACGCTGCGGCCGGGAGGAGCGGGCCGGGGCGGTGCTGCTTCCCGGGAAGGGGCCGGGGCGGCCCTGCCCCGCTGGGGGCTGCGGGGCCGGGGCCGGGCCCGGGGCGATGGGAGCGGAGCCGGGACTGCCGGGGCGGGCGGGCACACACACGGCCCCGGGGCGGAGCACACACACGGCCCCGGGGCGGGGCACACACACGGCCCCGGGGCGGGCACAGGGCCCCGGGGCGGGCCCTGTCCGGGAGTGGGTCCGGCTAGTGCCGGAGCCGCCGCCGCCGCCGGTTCCGGGCCCGGCCGTGGGGCTCCGATGTCTCCGCGATCTGCCCCGCCGCGGTTCGGGCCGCTGCAGTTGGCGCTGGCGGCGGCGGGGACGGCGGCGGCCACGCTGGACCTGTGCATGGACGGCTGGGTGGCGGCGGAGTACGCGCGGCGCGGCCACCCCGGCTGGGCCGCGCTGTCGCTGTCGGTGCTCGCCGCCGCCTCCGCCGCCGCCCAGGCCTGCAGCTGGCTGTGGCTGCGCTCCGACCCGCCCGCCCTGCGCCCCGCCGTGCCCGTGCTGCTGCTCGCCGCCCTCCACCTCCTACAGCTCGGCTTCTTCTTCAGGTACGCCAGCCCCGCACCGACTTCCCCGCGCGTCCCCGGGCATCCCCCGGGCCCCGCTCCGCCCCAGCCTCTCCCCGGGTGCCCGAGGGTGGATCCCTGTCCTGCCCCGCCGCCCCTGGGTGCCCCAGCCTCCCCCCGGGTGCCCGACCCTCGGCAGCTGTGTCTCGGCCCCCTGCAGCCGGGGATGCCGGTGAGCGGTGCCTCGGTCGGGAGGTCCCGCGCAGAGCCCGGCCCGGGCCGGAGCGGGATGAAGAATGCCGGTGGGAGCGAGGGAAGTTTCCCTCGGGCTCTGCTCTGTCTCCCGGTGCTGTTGCCGCTGCCCTCTGAACAAACGGAACAGCGCCCCGAAACCTCGTCACGGCCTCGGCGCTCCCGGCAGCTGAGGGGAGCAGCGAGGCCGAACCGGGGGAAGGGAATAATCCAGGCAGGTCTGCTGAGATCGATGATCAGTTGGGATCGATGCTCAGCTGAGGTCAATGCTCAGTTTTTACACTTGCACTTCACCCATGGCGGACATCGCGTGGCTGCTGTGGTGTGTGGATTGGGCAGGGGGAAGGAGAGGTTTGGGCACAAATCAGTGGGGTTTGCTGTCCTGTCAGGAGTTCACTGAGCTGCCAGGCCAGCGTGGGGACCAAGTGTGTGCCTTGCATGGCCCCTCACCACAGCTGGTTCCCCACACAGGTGCCTCTATGCCCTGAAGGTGGGCTGGAGGGTGTGCTGGGCGAAGGCTGAGGAGGAGGATGAGCAGAGACACATGGCCTTCCTCTCCCACGACATCAGCATGCTGCGTCTCTTCGAGACCTTCCTGGAGAACACCCCGCAGCTCACGCTGCTCCTCTACATTATCCTGCGGACAAACAAGGCTGAGCTCTCCCAGGGTGAGGGGTCTGGGGCCAAGGGAGGGGGATGCAGGGGTGCAGGCATGGGGTCAGAGAGGGCTTGGGTGGGGCAGATCAGAGAGGCTGTCCAGGACCCAGCAAGACACTTGCAGTGTCATTCTGCTCCCATATCACTCCTTCCTTTGACATGTCATGCTATAGGATGGACTCCTGTCCTGCACTCACATGCCCCAATGGACCGTGCTGGGCCTGGGGTGGGGGGGTTGAAGCTGTGGGACCATTGTGGTCATTCTTTTATATACCCCAGGGGAGGCTGAGGGTCAGGTGAGAAATGAGGCACCTTCTGGGGATTAGGGAGGTGCTGATGATGGTATGGGTGAAGCACAGGCTGCTGAGCAGGGGTTGTGGTGCCCTTGCCGGGGCGGGGAGCAGGTGTCACTGCAGAGGAATGGGGAGCCCAGCAACATGGGAGCCAGCACTCACCTGCCTGTGTGGGCTGATGTGGGACTCAGATTCAGTCAGAGAAAGAAACTTGAGAGTTTCTAGCCAGGCAAAAAGCCTGGGAAAGAGCTGGGAAAGAATGTAAATAATTCTTTATCTCTCTTGTTTTCACATTGTTTATAGTTAAGTTCTATCACTGTGCGTCAGGCTCTCTGAACCAATGCTTGGGTTGTTTTCACTTCAGAACCAATGAATTTGGTCTTTGCAAAGCTCTGTGTAAAAGAGCAGTGTTATTTTGAATAAATCGGAATTTTACTCTCAGCAGCCTTCTGAGTCAGTCTTCTCATTCCCGTCCTGCCTCGACAGCGACAGGCTGAGGGCTTCCATGCCTGGGAGATGGGCTCTGCAGAGCTGTTCAGTCCTAGCATTGCTTCCTCATCTTCTGAGCAAGGCCAAGCACAGCCTCCTTGTCCTCAGGGAAGGCAGAAGGCCAGGGGATCTGCAGGTGCTGATGGTCTGATCCTGACAGAGCTCCTTTGTCAGCTGGGGGGAACTCATCTTAGCAGTGGCGGGCAGGGAGAGGTTTGAGCCAGGCTGGGCCACCCTTTGATCCCCCCTCAGCATTTTCACCTCTGTGTTTTGCAGGCCTGGGGATGGGCACCGCATTCCTGTGTGTGTCGTGGTCTCTGTTGGACTACCACCAGTGCCTGCGCTCCTTCCTGCAGGACAAGTACGAGCTGAGCCAGGCCTCTTCCGTCGTCTACTTCCTCTGGAACCTCTTCCTCATCTGCCCCCGCATCCTGGCGGTCGCCCTCTTCGCCCTGCTCTGGCCCTACGGTGTGGCAGTCCACTTCATACTGGTGTGGCTGGCCATGTTCCTCTGGGTCAGCCTGCAGGGCACGGACTTGATGGAATCCCCTGGCCCCGAGCAGCTTTACCGGGCCATGGTGGCTGTGATCCTCTACTTCAGCTGGTTCAATGTGGCGCAGGGGAGGACGCTGTACCGCAGCATCATCTACCACGGCTTCATCCTGGTGGACAGCACGCTGCTGGCCCTCGCCTGGCTCTGGGGCCGGGCTCCCTCTGAGGAGCACTCCTACCTCCTCCCCGTGGTCTCTGCAGCCCTGCCCTGCTACCTGCTGGGGCTGGGGCTGAGGGTCACCTACTACAAGTGGCTGCACCCCAATGTGCAGGTGCAGCAGGAGGGCAGATACGACGAGGTGGATGCCAACGGAGGGAGTGATGGGGTGGAGTTCCGCTCGTTTTTGCAACCAGACCTTGTCAACAGGCGGATGCAGCGGCTGTCCCAGATCCATTTCTCCTGGTCCCAGCTGGCACAGCGGCACATCCTAAATGGGGCTGCTGCTGTGGAGTCTGCTGTCTGAGGGCAGCTCCTCTAAAGAGACACGAGGGGGAGGTGGGCTTGTTGGTGTGCCCCTGGTTGTGCCCCCTAGGCTGTTGTTTTGGACAGCTGGAGGGAGCTGGCAGAAACCAGGGGTGATGTGGAAACACTCGATGAGTCCCATGGCACTCAGCATAGCTCCCGTGGCTGTACCCTCAAGGAAAGCCACAGTGCTTGTGGTGAGCCCAGCACATTGTGGCGTATGGCTGCACTGCTGTGTCAACTTTTCTTGTTATTTATTACTAGCTTTTTCAAAAAAGAAAAATGAAAACAAGAGCACTGGTTTATTTTCTCTGTGCCTCTCCTGTGCCTGCTGCTGCCATTGCTGTGCTGGGATATGGGTGGTGGGGCAGGGAGGACTTGTTTCCTCCATGGTTGTGGCTATCAGACCTTCCTGTTTCCAGGCAGGATTTTCCTCCTTGTGTTAGTTTTGGTGTCAAGGTCAAAGCTCACCTGTTATCACTGTGCTCCGAGAGGGCTGGGGAAGGAGGCCTGTGCTGGGAGGAGTGGCTGCAGGGTGGCTCAGGGCTTCCAGCTTATTATTGGACACCTCATGCTCCCTTGGCTGTCATTCCCAGCACCACAGCCTGGGCAGCGCTCCCAAGGCCATGACCACAGCATTTCTCAGCCATTGGTGGCTGTTGGTGTGGTCAGTGTGGTCAGCAGTGGGGTCAGTGCTGTGCCAGCTCCCACCACTCCCCAGGTGGAGCTGCCTCCACCCAGCTCAGTGCCCAAACCCAGGCAGGCTCCAGAGCAGCCCCTGCCCTTTGCTGTTGCCCAGCTGGCAGCTGTGGCACATCTGGGCTGCCCACAGCACTGACCTTTGGCTCCTTCCCCCCTCTCCATCACTTCCCTCCCAGCAGCCCATCCCAGGAGGAAACTTCCATACCAGGGAAGGCTTTTGGATGCAGCTGGAGGAGCAGCTGAAATGCTGTTTCACAGCTGCTCCTGTATGAAGCTCAGCCCTGCCCAAGGCCAGCAGCACAGGGTGGGAGAGGGGAGTTGCCCTGTGCAAAAGCAAATGGGAAGGGAAGGTTTTGTGCAGGAAGCACCATGTGCCTCCCCTGGGCACCTCGGCAGGGCCCAGGAGGAGGTGCCTGCCCCACTGGCTCCCCAGGAGCACGGTGGCTCTGGTGGCTGCACTGTGGCACCCTGAGTGCTCCTGGTGCTGCCAAGCCTGGCTCGGGCTGTCACAGGGGCAGGGATTGACTGGGAGGCAGAGAACAGGCTGAAGCACTGACTATAGAAAATAAAGACTTTATTATTTTTTTCCAGTTCACAGGACAGTTCTCACTACAGACCATGAACAGGCAAAGGCCCCACAGCCAGCAGCACCTGAGATCACTCCTCATAGCAGGGCAAGAGAGGTGCTGTGGGCTCCAGGGGTCCTGCTGCTCCCCACCAGTGCCAGCACAGACATCTCCCCAAGGGCTCTTGGAGGCAACAAGTATTAGTGGATCAGGTGGTTTTTAAAGCCTCTCTGGCTGTGTTGAAGCTGAAGGGGAAGCCAGCAACACCCAGGTGAGCTCAGGTGCTCTAGGCCTGCAGGCTGACTGTCCTTCAGGTGTTCAGGTTTGCTCTCCCATTACCCCTGACCTGACTGTAGCTGAACTGGTGACAGCGACAGGAGAAAATCAATGCTTGGATAGAGATGCTGTTCTTGCCTCAAAAGAGACAGGAAAAGGCTTAAATTCAGCCAGTAGAGGAAAAAATAAAATAGCCAGGTCACCCCTTTATTAACAAACACAGAAATGTACCATCAACCTCCTGTTACAAAAGTACTTTACATACATTCAAGGAAACATCATATAAATACCAGTATGAAATGTCAGTGGCTGCGAGTTCCACACTCAGCTAAAATTTTACCAACATCTTAAAATTTCCTTAAAACATTTGAAGTAAACAAACACAAAGCACAGCCAGCTGCCAGGCAGCTCAGGTCCAGGCCTGCAGGTCCAGCACCTGCTGCCAGTGCCTGGGCAAACCCAGCCCCTCTCCAGCACGGCTCTGCTCAGCTGCTTCCCACGGGAGCGAAGCACTTGGGCTGCTCGGCCGTGCTGGTGGTGCGAGGTTAAGGCACAGGTTTTAATCCCAAATTCAGCCAGCTGGAGTACGAGATAGGCTCCCAACAGGCTGCTGCACAGGCTGGGACAGCTCCCCAGCCTGCTCGCAGGAGACCTTTGGATGGGCTGAGGGAGGTTCAGCATCAGCACAGACTCTCCTGTGACTACAGCTGAGTCCCCCTCCCGTGACATTTCCAACCCTGGAGCAATGAGGCTGCTCCTCACCACAGCTCTGGCACTTCACAGGGACCCCAGAGGAACTGGACTCTATGGACCCAGCAGTAAGGGAGCTGGAGCTGCCTCAGCTGCCTTGAACAGGTGAACACACCTTGGCTGTCCATTTGGTGTAGACAGAGAACATCCCTGGGTCCTGCTCCCCTTTCCAAATCCACTGCTGAGCACTCCCAGCACAGCCTGTTTGCCCTGCTGCTCCCTTTCCCTCTGCTGAGCTGCCCAGTGACACCCACAGCAGACTCAGATTTTCCTCATGGGATGAGCAGCTCCCACCCAGCACGTTCCTGCTGCAGAGCTCCTGGGGAAATGCACAGCCCCAGTACCCACCTGGGATCAGAGCACAAGGCTAACACCTGGCAAGGAGCTGACAGAAAGCAGAGTACTCCTGACTCCAGTGACCACCCTGGAGAAGGAGAATCACCTTTGATTCCAATTTAATTAATCTCAAAAAAAACCCCAAAACAATCAAATCCAAAGGGAAACTGGAGCTGGTACATGAAATAGACCTCCCAGGTCCAGTCCCTGAGCACGAGGTATCCAAACCCCTGGCTCTAGGCACCTTCTGCCCACGGTCTCTGGAGCTGGCCCAGGAACAGATGCCCCCAGGGCACAGCAGAGCCTGTGCAAAGCTGGCCCAGCAGCTCCCCCTGCACTGATGGAAATTAACCCTCAGTAATTAAAGCCATGAAAGGAATGCAGCAAACACATCCCTGCCCATATGGGCACAGCAAATGGGTCAGTGTCCTCCCTGCAGTGACAGACTTTCAGCCCAGTCTCCCGATGTCTGATGTGGGGCTGCGGACCACGATCTGGAGGGGTCTGGGTGCAGCCACAGGTCTGGCTCTGCAGGAGCAGCAGGTTCTAGGGCACAGCACACACCTGTCCTCAGGGCACCTGCTGATCTGGTGCCATCAGGGTACACGGGGGAGACCACCAAACACAGCCTGAGCTGGCACAGAACCAGCCCCTGTGCCAGCCCCAGGCCAGGGGAGCTGCAGGGCACTGACTCCAGCCTCTGCTCTGAGACAGTTGCAGAAAAATCAGCATCACCATCCCTCCCAAGTGCTCCATGCTGCCAAGTCACAGTGTCTTAGAAAATGAAGTCCCTCTTAACAAGGCATTTGTTTGTCACTATGTAGTTAGGCTAATGCAAAGAATATAAGAAAGTTGAATCTGATTCTACTAAAAGGAACTTACAAATAGGGTCAGGAACACAGAGGTGAAGGTTATACCATAGCCAGAGCCTTCTCTGCAACATTCATGAGGATTTAGGAATTAGATTATTCCTAGTTCAGGTGAGGACTCAGTTCACATCTGAGCAGTCTGCACCAGTCTGCTGTACCTGATGTTCACAGGCAATTTCATTTTCCTTTGCAGGGAAAATCTGTGGGATCTACAGTCCACACCAAAGCTGGAATCCAGTGATCTCCTGCTGGCTAAAAGGGCTTCTGCACACATTGACTAGAAGCAACTAGGATCAACTCAGAACACCAATAATTGCCTCAACAAGGAACCACATATCCCAGAAACATTCCCTTAACCTTTATATTTTCCAGTAATCCCACACTGAGGAAATAACATAAGGACATTGTAATAAATTAACTGTTTTGAACACCCAGGGAAGGAGGACACATTTTACAGCAACAGAGGTATTTTTGACATTTTCATTAATATTTCCTATGAAAAAAAACATAGCTCTTCGGCTTTGCAAAACAAGGGAGGTTTAAGCTCTGCCATCAGCGTTTTCCTATAAAAATAAATTTTTGTATTTACTTGGGTTCTACAACTAAGCTGAATAGAAAGAAGAAGGCTCTTACACATAAATCTGCTCTTTTATGGCCTCTCCCTCTGGAGGCACCTGCCAGAGGCATTCAGCTGGCTCTGTAAGTCCCTTCTGCAGACAAGCTCTAGCTCTGCTGAGTCTAGGGCTTCTTCACAGCACACCTCTGGACTTGGCAGGGCCTGTGCTCCCAAGGAACGACCTGCTGTCATATTCCACTGTACAGTTTGCATTAGGTATGTTTTCTTCATCAAGCTGAAAGGGGAGTCCCCAGACATGTGAGATTTCTGTGCCCCCAGTAATGGAGAGGGCTGGCGGGAGCTGCAGTCACATCTTTGCTCCAACTTCTTACAGGAAGTCCAGCTCAAGGGCTTGGTGAAGGGACACGAGGTCAGCGTGATTTGTGATCCTCCAGAATGGCATGTTGTGCTGTAAAGAGAGAGGACAGCCAGGTTTATGCAGGGATTTTCAGCTGAGGTGGAGCTGGGCTGTGCAATGTGGTGGTTCTGAGCACACCACTCTCAGGACACACCACAGCCACGTGCACATCTGTATCTGGAGCCCATCTTACGTGCACAGCTGTGTGTGACAGCCAGCAGCACTGACTGTCAGCTGCTCACGATGGAAACCTTGCCTGTGAGCTGCTGCTGCACCCAGGAATGCTTGTCCTGGACTGACAGCTCTGGCACATGCCAGAATGTGAGAAGCCTCCCAAGTCAAGGTCCTGACAGTCATCTTTGCACTTCACTACTAATTAGCACAACTGAACAACCCATCCAGGCCTGTCCAAATCAATCAAACTCTTTGCTCCTTGTTCGCATCCAGCCTAATGGCAGGTGCTGTATTGTTCCTGAGCCCTGACTCCTGCACACTCCTGAGAAGCTGCAATATCCTGATAGTCACAGGCTATGATCAGCATACAGAACCATTGAATCATCAAGGGTGGAAGGGACTTTGAAGATCACCGAGTCCAACCTTTCAACATGCTACATCACCACACTGCTGACAGGGACAGTGTCATATGCAATCCTAAACAACAGTAAAAGAGAAACTTTAAACATCCAGGAGCCAGAAAACTGCTCATCTTAGCATAATGGAAGATCTCTTGCATCAAAGGCAAACTTTGCTCTTGGCTGCCCTGGCCTGAAAAATTCAGCCTTGGAAGAAGAGTCCTTGTAGGGAAAGCCTGGCAGCAACTTCCCTTTGCACTGCCCCAGCTCTGCAGTCAGACCTGCGGGGAAATTGTGCTCCAGGATGGTTTGGATGGATGGAGACAAGAGATCTCTGGAGGCTGCTCTTAGAATATCTGGTTTATTAGAGAGGGTGAAAGGCCCTGTTTGGAGCTGCCAGACGCAGCACGTGGCAGGGCCGAGGGCATGGGGGAAGGGAGACAAGGGGTAGAGGGAGACAAGAGGATGCTCCAGGAGAGGGTGGAAGTTCCAAGAGGGGGGGAGTTCCAAGAGGGCATCTGGCTCCTCACAGACCCCTTATCAGGGGGCTTCAAGGTGGGCTGGAACAAGACTTGGGCCAATGGGGTCACAGACACCTGATGCTTCAGGGGAGGGTTACAGGTGTGGGATGACCCATACATTGGGTGAGATCCAACAGTCCATTTAACCTTTGGGCCTACCTGTAGGTAAGGGCATTGTTCAACCAGAAGGGGGGATTGTCTTCATCCTGGCTGTACTATTGTAAATCTTTTGCCAGGCAATCATATTTATTCATCCTCCCCAACACAGACCCACCTGCTTGGCTGCGACCTCCTCGTCACGCCCATCTCCAATCACCACGTAGGTGACCTTCTTCCCAAACCGCGACACGATCCTCTCGAAGCAGCTCTCTTTACCTGCCAAAGACATCCCCTGTAAGGAGCCTTGGGCACAGAGAAATAAAGCCTGAACAGGCCCCTTCCTCCCAGTACAGAAATACTTCTTGTCTTACTGGGCAGAGTTCAGCTCCCGAGGCCAGAAGCACTGACCAGGTGGACCACAGCAGGGAGCTGCTCAGCTGCAGAAATGTCATTTCCCCATGCAGAGATCACAGCTAATCCTCAGCAGGTGGCACAATGCCAGAGACCTGGCACAATCCCTTACCTATTTTTGTAGCACTATAAATATTTTCAATGGGAAACACCTCGCCCAATCCATACAGAAGAACTTTGGCAAGAGCTGGCATCAGCTGGGTGGTTGTGATCAGGATGTTCTCACAGTTTTTTCTGAAAGAAGAAAAACATTTTTAACAGCACATCTACAGGCAGTGGTGCCAGGACTGCTCTGGGCAGTCTGATCAGCTTCCTCAGGTGCCATGTGCTTTGCTATCCTGCTTTCAGGAGGCATTTTAGGACAAGGTTTTGCAATTTTTGCATGCTTGCTTCTGGCAGGATTCCCTGTCAGAAAAAACATTTGGTGAGCATGCAGACCTTGCTAACTACAGGTGCTGCAGCAGAGAAATAGGTGAAGTTCTTGCCCTCAGTCACTTCACAGCAGTGTGACACAGGCAGTGCCCAGCACAGTGCTGCACCCCAGGGCCAGAAAGGGCTGAGAAAGCCTCACATGCATTTTCAGGTTCCATACCTGGACTGGATGAGCAGCAGGGATTTTAATGCAGTTTCCAGCCAGGAATCTGTCAGCACTTCTATGTCAGTCCTTAGTCGCTGCAGAGCTTCTCTCTTCTGTGGGCTAAGCAGGCCTGCAAGGTGAGGAACACGTGTTTGCCTGGCAAGTCTGGCACAGGGAGGGCTGTCCCCCAGTGCACCAGCTGCCTGCTCTGCAACAAGCAATAAATAACACAACTGAAGGCCTCTGGCAGCTGGACTGTCTGCCTCAAAGCAATGAAAGAAACCAGCTCCCAGTGACATGAATGAGCCCAGACAGCCATGCAAGAGTCTGACTGTGGGGAACTGGGCAGAGACTTATCTGCAATATTTCAAAGCATTTCTCAGGATACAGGCAAAGGCATTTCTCTTGTACAAAGCAGAAGCAGGGGTCCAAGGCCACAGAGCAGGGGAAGGAACTCCTACAGTCACCCTCTCTGACTTTCTGCTTTCCAAGGAGCATTTCCACTATAACCCCTTTTATATATCTTTTTTTTTTTTAGCTACCCCCCTTCTTTTATTCCTATGCTTGTAATTGCTTTTAGATATAATTTTCTTCAAGCCTCCAGTTTTGAATTAAAAGCAGACAGAGGTGGAGCCCATTTCTGCTCCTGACAGTAAACACAGCAAGAAAGGAGCACATGGAGCCTGCACATCTCTCCAATTTCCATCCATGACGTTTGAGCCCCCCTCACTTCAGCCTTCTGCTATACCAGTCCTCTGCACAGAGGCCACAGAGGGACCCACAGCAGGCTGCACTGACAGCTGCTTCATCATGTAGCTTTCTACAGGTCCTGAAAATCTTTGCATCCAGGTTTCCCACGAGCAAAGTACAAAATCATGGTCTGATCCCCCTACAAGAAACAAGATAACTGCAACAAACTGAACTGCAGACCTATACTGGCAGATTTTTAAGGCTGAAACCTGTAGCTTTGAACACCTGGCTTTTAGAAAATATGTCCCAAAAAAAAAAAATTTATCAAGGTTTTTGTGCAGGCAAAGGGTACCCAAGGTCACAACCAACCAAGCCAAGTCACCCTACCAGGTGAAGCTGCTCCAGCAATGGGGATGGCAATGCCAAGATTCAGACTAAACAGAAAATTCATCTCCATTTGCTCACTATGGTCTGCATGATTATGACTGCTTTGGAGTTGAAAGGCAGGCAAAACGAGAAGGCTTTAAGTGAATTTGTGGAGAGAGAGCAGAGAAGTCATATCAAACTGTGGGCCTGACAGCCCAGGGGTGACCACTGTATTTCCTGATAATGGCATGAGCAAAGAGAGACTTTGTGGAGACATGAATGAGACCTCCTGAGCAGAGTGCCAGGCAGCCTTTCATACCAAATCAGCAAAGGGATATTATTGGTAACAAAACCTTTGCCTCTAGGACTGAATGCCCATCCTTATCTCCATGATAAATCACAGCCTGCCCTGGCACACTGTTCAGTTTTGGAAGACGTACCCTCTAGGATTCCATGGAAATTTGACCCCAGTTAGCACTAGGAGAATGCTTTACTTCTCATGTCCACACATCAGGAAAGCCAAAGCTCTGAGGAAGGACAGCGTCTGGCCCCACAAGCTGTGTTCAGTGCTCAGCCCTCAGTGCAGGTGACCACTCACCTCCAACGTTGGTTTTGTACTTGTTGTAGATCTCGCGTACCCTGCGGTAGCGGAAGGCCAATTTCCTCATCCAGTCCACTCCCTGCACGCCCACCGAGGAGCTGTGGTTTGCATTGCTGCCCGAGCCACTGAACCCATCCGTGGAGAAGTTGTAGTTGCTGTTCCAGGAAAGCAGATGTGTTAGGTTAGGTGTGCCACAGCAGCAGAACCACTGCAGCGTCTCTGGCGGGGCAGCGCTGGCAGCAGCTGGAGAACACCTCAGAGAGGAGCTGCACAAGCACCTTGGCACCTGGAGAGCAGAGCCTGGCTCCTCTGGGAATGCTGACATCCAGCTACAGCTGCTGCTGGCCTGAACTGCTGCACTGATACAACTCCTTTCACACCCTCTGACAGTAAAAGGGTTTTAAAATCATGGGGATTTAGGGTTAAAAGGAAAATTAAGCTTAGTAGGCCCTGAAAAAAAATAAATACCCTAGGTACATGAAGGCCTTGTACCTTGCTAGAACTACACCTGTGTAGCTAGTACATGATAAATGATATCATTGTTAGATGTGATGATTGTTTAGTAATCAAATATAATTACTGTTTAATCATAAGAATAATCATGAGAAACTGTGGTCAGGGGCCTAAAAAAGATCACAACAAACTCATGTCAATGTATACAATAGAACAATATAAGTTTAATAATTAATATATAAGTTATATAACAATAGAATAGAAAATACGTTCAGCTCGAAAGCCATGTCAGAGTCAGATTTGGGTCTGTACCCCTGATTCCCAGAGCTCTTCAATAAAAGCACCTGCATGTAATCATATCCCATGATTCTGTGTGTTCCTGAATGCTGACACCTCCACTACAAAACCTTCCTTTACTCTTTGGCTGCTCACTCCTCTGCCATACAGAGCATCCTTCCCACTGACCCCTTCCTCATCCTGCAGCAATAAACCCCAGCACATCATCTTCCAAACACAGCATCCACGCCTTTCCATCACAACTGCAGCTCCACAAGCAGATGAGCTGCATCACCAGTTTATAACAGCAGAAAGCAAGTCCTGCTTCACCACCTTCGCTGTATTTCTTTCTCCCTGACAGATCTTTCTCAGACTTTTTCACGAGCCAGTTCAGTTCAGTAAAAAAACCTTCCTCCCCCTGTTTGACAGTGAGCATCATTAAGCTCTCAGAGGGATGCAAACCACAGGGGGACTTTCAAAGGTCAAGATCACAAAACCAGACAATGGTTTAAGTTGGATAGGACCTTCAAGATCATCTCATTCTAAACCCCTGCCACAGGCAGGGAGTTTTTCCACTAATCTAATTAGAGTAACCATTAGATTAGGTTACTAATCTAATGCTGTCATCATGAGATCTGAAGTGCTGGTTCTCCTTTCCTCACTTGTCATTGAGCACAGAGGCAGCATTCAACAGTGGACAATGTAATTCACAATATAATTTCAAAATGCTTAATGCTCTGTAGGTCTTCAAAGAAATGTCCCCCAGCAAACAAACACTTTGCCAGGTTTTGTCCTTGGCACAGTGCTGAGCTGCATCCCTTAACCTCATCTGCATTTGAAGTCTTCACAAAACCTGATTACATCAGCAATACATTTCCTGCATTCATCAGTACAACACCTTAGATCCTGGCCATTGTCATCAGATGCCACATCTTCTATGTGTACCTGGTCACACTCCTGTTAAAGACAAAAAAAACCCAAAAATAAAGCCATGTTGTGGTAATCCAGAAACACACTAACATTTGCAGATTAAAGAAACTGTGACAGAAACCAATCCCTTCACACTTTCCAACAGCAACAAGCCATGCCACACTGCTAAGTGCTCACCAGTCCAGAAATGCAAATACGGGATGGATCAGACATCACTCTTTTTATTTGTCCAGGTTCAAGCAAAAACCCAGCAGAAACTGAGAGAGCCCCTGACACTGGAAGACTGCAGAATGCCTGTCTCAGTTCAGAGTGCCCCCCTGATTTGGCTGTGCTTGTGACAGTAAGGGGCTCTGAAGCACAGAACCCTCACAGAGTGAAGTGTAATTCTGACATGGTAACGTGGAGTTCTGCCTTTCAAACACATTTGCCATGTACCTCCAAGTCATTGAAAAACAAGTGAGTATCAGCAACTTCAAAAATCATCTCCTCCATGGACAGACCTGAGCCAATCACTAGAGTTGGATCCTGGAAAAACACAAAAAGAAAATGTAAATGCACTGTGGATACAGGCAGAAGGGAATTGTCATAAATCTCTCATCAGTTAAACTGCACAGTTTTCCACTGTATATCAAATCTGGCATAATTCCAGCTACATTCAATGGTGTGAACTACAATTTCCCTAGTATGTTAAACAACTCAAAACTTAAAAGTTAAAAAAAAAACTTTAAAAAAAAGTTAACTAAAACCCTCAGAAGTTAAAAAAAACAAAAAAACCTAACACTTCAATGCTCCCCAGGAGAGACTGAGACATTTTCACAGTCAGCATATACAAAACATTTAAAAATCTACAATGTATTTTGAAGGAGAAAAATCACTTCTTTCCCCTATGTGCAAGGACCTCAGTTATTCCCAGTGAGGATGGAATCAGTTTGACAGACTTACATTGTAAGAAGGGGCATGTTGGTGATGTCCACACCCTAACTCTGTATAAAGCCAAAGTTAGTTCTTTCCCTGCCCCAAACTGCCAACAACTTAAAAGTATCACCATAGACAGTTGTTTGTTTTTTTTTTTTTTAAACCCAAACTATTCATTTTCCAAAGACCAACACTTAATTCTGCATGACAGAAATAGGTTTTCTTCCATGGAAAAGACAGTATTACCTTGCCATATTTTTGAGCATATGACCCTGTGAGAAGAGAATGGAAGATGATGATGGTCTCATCCAGGTCCCAGAGAAACACCCGCTGCAAAGAGGACAAGAGGTTAGAGCTGAGATATTCCAGGCACTGAACTGCAATAAAGGAACAAGTTTTAACTTTGTGGTTAGCTACAGTATGCTCCAACAGGTATGAACAATCTTCCAGGCTGAACACATTCAACTCTTCAGTTTATTGCAGTGGAGTTTATTTACTGCCACAGAAATACAATTCAGGCTATGGCTGTTTGGTCAAACTATTTCAAAAGCTTCTCTTGCTTTTATGGTTATGAAAGTAAAGCTTAGAGTGCTAAAGAATTTTAGAGCCCTGCTGAGGTAAAGTGTACTTCCTGTGATCTGGAGAGCACCAGGTGCATGCCCTTGGTGATTGTCAGAGAAACCTTTGTTATAAATAAGGCAATGGGCTGCCATGAGGAATGCCAGAGTTTTGGTACAGAAGGATTTTGACACTGAGAGCTGGGCCAACATGTGGGATGGAATACTCCCTCACACTAGTCCAGGCTGAAGGAGCTGGAGGGTAAACTGGACACCAGTACAAGCCAGTAGCACTCTCTCCCTGTATAGCATGTGGCTTTCCTGCTGGAGTGTGCCATGTGTACCAGAAAGGAGGTGCTGTCTCAACCTATTTGGCACTGGGAAGGCTACCCCAGACTGCATCCCTGGTCCCAGAGATCTGTGAGGAAATGAGAGTTGCCACCAAAATGCTCTTGAAATGGTCAGCAGCTCACAGGAGAGGCTAAGGAAACTGGGATGGCTTCTCTCAGCAAAGAGGAGACTAAGGGACTTCTAACAGGAGACCACAACTAATGAAAGGGAACTGCAAAGGAGATAGAGACAAACTATTTTCAGTAGTGGGAGATGGAAAATTGCTGTGGAAGAAGAAGGGGAAAATTGCAGCATGGGAGATTCCAAGTGGAGACATTAAACCTCCCTCCCTGGGTGGATGTAGTAGTGCTGGGACAGATCACTAGGTACAGGATCTTCAGCCTTGGAGGCTCTCGTGGCTCAGGCAGACAAAGCCACAGCCCCAGTGCAGGGGACAGCCCTGCTCTGAGCATGAGCCTGTAGTGGAGACACCTGGGTGTCTCCTAAATCACACCACTAGGATTCCAAGATGTGTTTAAGTGATGCTTTGGGTTTGAAAGGGACTTGGAAAACCATCCAGCTCCAACCCCTCTGCCATGGGCAGGGCCACCTTCCATTAGACCAGATCGCTCCAAGCCCCATCCAACCTGGTCTTGGACACTTCCAAGGATGAGGCAGCCACAAATTGCCTGGGCAGCCTGTGCCAGGGCCTCCCCACCCTCACAGGGAAGACATTTTTTCCTGGTATCTAATCTGAACCTACTGTCAGTTTGTACTTATGGGGACAGACCTTTTAGGAGAGCCTGTAGTGATAGAACAAAAGGGAAGAGTTTTAAACTCAAAGAGAGTAAACTTAGATTAGATGTAAAAAAGACATTTTTTACAATTAAAGTGGTGAGGCACTGGCACATATTGCCCAGAGAGGTAGTGGATGCCCCATTCCTGAAAACATTCAAGACCAGGTTGGATAGAGCTCTGGGCAACCTGACATCTACTTGAAGATGTCCCTGCTCATTGCAGGGTGGCTGGACCAGATGACCCTGAATGATCTCTTCAACCCAAACCATTCTATAATCACTTTCCACTTCTATAGAGATGGAATGGAAAAAAGGGAAGAGGATTTTCACCATCACACTATTCTGCAATGCTACCTGTAGAAATGAAGATCACTATTTACCTCCAGCTCACTGTCCTGTGAGGAGGAGGTATCTGCTTTCCTCTTCCCTCTGTTCTTTCCAGGGATGTTTTTTCTTGCTTGCTCATCTAACTCTTTACTTGCTGTTGCTCTTGGTAGCAAAGGACTTGTAGATGCATCTCCTGGAAAAAAGAAATCACACAGCTTTCATCTCCTTGTGTCTCAAAACAAACAGCAATACAGCATTGGCCACAAACCATCTTAGCAAAAGCTAAGATGTAACTTCACTATGTGGATGCAGTAGTAGTTGAACCCTGATTAGAACATAAACCATGAGTTCTTTGTCCCATCATTTCAAAACAGCTCTGTCTCCTCAATTTAGTCCCCCAGAACTATTGCAAGAGCTACTGCCTGCACAGCAAAGCCAGAGAAGAGACCCTCCACCCTAAGGCCTGGAACCCTGCAGTCATTTCACTACCCTGGAACTACTCTATTACTCAACTATGTCTTCTTTATTTAATAGACAGTTGAATATAAAAGAGTAACAGTGATATGTTGGCCCTGAAGACACAGCCTTGGCTAAGCAGCATGGCCTGACAGGGAGATGTGATGGAGCCTGTTCTGCTACTGCTAAGAACACCCTTCTTAGGGAAGGAGTACATCACCTCCTGCATCTTTCTCTCCTGCAGCCAGGTGTTCAGAGTATTCCCTCTCTCTGGGGCACACAGAGTAGTGCAGGGTACCCTGGAATGGCTTCTGATACATAAGTTTGGCTGGCCCACCATAATACTCAGCACACCAGTGAGGCCAGGAAGGCGTCAGGAAGGTTCTGACAAGGAAGACAAGTGTCCCATTGGGCCCAGCATGACGAGATGCTGCAGGTACCCTCTGGAGATGTTTCCCCACACCTGCCCCTGCACTGTTTAGCAGAGGCATTTCCCAGACCCCGCCTCACCAGAGGAAGGTCTCTGCACTGCCCGTGCTGGCACCAGGGTGTTTGGTTTCTCCTCTGGGTACGTGCTCGTGGCTAATGCCAAGCTCTCCGTGCTGCTGTCTGCTGGTGGCACCACTCCAAAGCCTGAGCTCGGGTAGCAGCTCTGGTACTGACTCTGGCCAAGGATGGTGTAGGTAGGATACTCCTGTTGGGGGAAAGAGTTAGTGATGGTAGGAAGGACACTTCATTCAGAAAACACTCAGAATCAGGATGACTTTTTTATTAGAATATCCTGTCAAAAAAAAATCCCAGCAAGAGCACAGTCTGACTTTATGCTGTTTCATTCTGCACATGAAGGCAATCCCAAAAAGGGCCAAGAGAGCTCTGGCTCCCCAGTGGCCCCTGCACAGGCAGGTTTTGCAGGGGAGACCAGTGACCACAGGGCCATTCCTGTGCTTCCAGTGTCTGCAAAAATTAATTCTCAATTAATGAAGTGACAGTAACAGGAGAGCTGAGTGGATGCCAAGACATCAGTGCACTCTGTGCTCTGGAATGTGTGGTTTTGTCTCGCATTTGACTTCCTGCTTTTGACAGTGACAGAAAGTGACCTCGGGCCTTGCTGAGGGCACAACTACAGAATAAATAGCCCTTACTCATGTCCTGACTTCATCAAGCAATAATTCTGCATGCTGGAAGGTATCCATTTATGAAAACTACTTAATTCATTTAGGAGATCACTCAGCACCTGAAGCTGTGCTTGAGGATTTTAACTTCTGCTACTGACAGTAAAAAAGCAGTGACCCCAAATGCCACATCACACTACTCTGGTACACAGTGCTCTCCCCATTTCCTTGAAGAGCAGCCTGGGTTTGTGAACCAGTACCTTGGTCTGAAATACTAAAAGAAAATCTTTTTTTCCCCTTATGGTTCCAAACAAGCTTATGTTTAAAAAGCAACAGCATAAGCACAGAGGGATTTTTGTGCATCCATTGCGTTTTCCACACTTCCTGTATTCTATTTCTGAAAAGCTGGACACTGAAGGCTTCCCTTGTATAACCAAGTACTCAGAATGGCAGTTAACCACCCACAGAGGAAAAAGGCAGGGGGAAATGGTCTTTGTTAGCTTGCAGGGCTGTCTCGTTTTGTTCTAGTCTACCATCAGAATGCACACCCCACTTTATTGGGTTGGAGTTTTGTTTGTGTGCAACCTCATTTCCTATTTTTGCTGAGGGAGAACAAAGGTGTCCAAAAACATCCAACTCTAATCCTCCCTGCAGGTTTAGTCCTCAAAATAGCTGAATTGTTTCTTCCCCTTCATCCCTCTTGCAGAGATCTCAGCTTTAAGACTCACCTCACAATTTGCAGATGAGGCAAAAGCCTTGAACACATGAAGTGAGTTTGTTGGAAAGGCCAAAGGGAGAAGCATCATGGTTTTAAAGACCCAGCAGGAGTGATTTGGTGACTTTGAGTTACACACTGAGCCCCACAGCTCCAGAACCACTGTGCTCCATTTGAGGTAACATTTCCATGTTAGTTCTGAGCAACGTGTTACACAAAGGCAAAGGAGATGGTGCACATAAATTTACCAAGGAAGTTTTACCTGTGAGATGCTGGCTACTGCTGATGTGGAAATATTGACAACAGTTGAGGATGTAGAGACTGGACTGGCATTGGTAGTTGATGCTGTAAAATTGAGAATTACTGCATTAAATATTCTAGAAAAACATAAGAAATGTGACGTGAAATAAATACTTACTAGGCAAATGTGCAAGCATTTGTGCTTCCAGCAGCACTCTGCTACTAACACCCAAAAAAGTACCAAAATACACCCAAAAGGTGTATTTTGACACCAGTCACATTTCAATTGGGTTTACAGGAAAGGAGAGCTAATACTTCTTTAAAAACAGTCCTTTCCAATGGTTCAGAAACCTTTTCCCTCTGTGACTGCTAAGCAATTGGTGTAGAATTAAAAAGGTTTTATATCTTTACTACATGTTTTGATAAGACAACAGTCCCATTCTCATGATCAATCAGTAGCAGCTAAAAATGAATCAGAATAAATCAAGAAAAGGGACACGAATGTGTAAAAAAAAAAAAAAAAGGGCATCATTTTTAGTCTAATTAGATTTAAAATTTAAGCAAACATTAAGAATATTTCAAATAGTAGAAAAAGAATGTTTCCTGCTGGAGAAAGTGAGCATCTCTCCCAAAATCCCTGTGTCTAGAGCTGCTTTTTGGATATGACTTTCTGAAATAATCTGTCAACAGCTCCTAGGATGAATTCTTAGGGATGTGTAGTTGTTGGCACCAACTTGAAGATGTTTTATAAGCTTTGTGTCACTGCACTCAATTCTCCCAAAACACAGAAGAGGCTGCTAGAGCAGCACTTGGGAACACCAGTGGTCTAGCAGTTTTGGGGGGATTGCAGACACAGGGCCACTCCATTAAACATTCCTCAACATGGGGTTTTGGGACTCACAAGGATAACAACAAATAATTAAATCAGCAGGAACAAAACCACAATGTACAAAACCAGGTGCCACCAAGAACTATTTAATTTTCTACACCACATTCCTCTGCACACAAATAAAACTAAAATATCGCTTTTGTATATGCTTATATAGACTTGCAGAAATTCACAGTATCCCTTATCTTACCATCACTCTGAGAAAAACCCTTGTTTTCTGCAAATATCACCACACAAAATTCACCCCAAGAATTCAAGCTTGTGAAGGCTTCAGTCCTGCTCCCCCAGGGAAATTGCCCCATCATGAACTCTAAATTAGTATATGCTGTGCTATGGCAACCACCAATACTACCTTGTGCCTCCTGGAAAGAGGAATGGATCCAAAATACGCCTCAAAAAAGTTAAGAAAACAAAAGAAACAGATCTTAAAAGATGTGTAGAAATACACAGGATTTACAGGAGATGAGAAATGTGAAAGGTGACATCTCTGTGGAAGGAGAAACAAAAGGAAGTAATTAGCCCCAGAAACATTTAGAAAAAAGCAAAAGGGCTGCACTGAACAGCAATAATGGCAGTGAAGACACTAAAGGACCCAGAGCAGCTCCACAGCTACTTAAAGCCCAGCAGAGTGAGCCAAGGAATCTGTCACAGACACTTCTCATAAGCAACTGCTCAAAAACGGGGGCAGTTTACAAATAAAGCTCCTTCCAATTACACACCATGGAAACTATCAAGGCTGTTTTCACTTTAAGAGAAGGTCCCTTCCTAGGCCCTGTGAAGCCCAGCTCTCCAGAAAAGACCCTTGCTAACTGAGCAAACCTGCCATGCAGCTGGGGTGGAGCAGCCCTCTGGAAGACAGACCATTACACCACTGCTCTCAAGACTGTTATGGAGAGGAAACACAAAGTGATTCTTATGTGCAATGTTCTGCCAAGGCTGCTTCTCCACTGAGATTGATTACAGAAGTTAAGAAATGAGAAAAAAGATTTAGCATTCCCTCACATGAACTTCATTGTTTATCTTAACTCCGGTCCTCCTCCAACAGGTGTTTTTAATAATCCTGTATCTAAACATTGCTACATACCAGATTTTTTCAAACAGTTCCCACCACATGGATGAACCAATTCTCTCTGTGAACCACTTCCTTTTACCTGTGAATGGCCCAGAACCATACAAAAATATTTGGCAAGGATTTGCCAAACATGACCTCAAGGGCTGAGGTTTAAAGACCAGCAAACACAAGGACTGCATTGAAGATGCCACAATAGTTTTCCTTTCTTTATCCTCTACTTCAGACCTCATCCTCAGACATTACATCCCTGCCTCCTCTACCTTATTAATCCCAAACTGCTTTGCTACAACCATTTCCAAAGAGCCAAACCCAGAACCGTGCACTGAAATCCCCCTCCAGTGGGTCAGCATCATTGTACAGCTGTGTCTCACCCCGATTTGAGTGGAGAGAAATCCAGCTATTCCAGGGATTGCTATTGAAACAACTCTGTCCATCCTTCCAGCTCTGCTCTCCACCACCTCCCTGGCACCAGCCCCTGTACTGACCTGAACCCTTGGTGGGCTGCTTGAGAAGGAAATGTAGCAAATCTGAAAAAGGAAAAGTTTCCTGCAAGTCTGCAAAAAGTTTTTTTCCAAAAAGCAACAGCATTTGCACAGCTGGAGTGATTTTTGCACACTTTAGGGTGACTTGTGCACACTTTCAGAGAGCAGTCTGCAGGGAAATTTCTCACATCACACATTCTCCCAGCAGCACAGATCAAAATCTTTCTCCTGTGTGAAACTCTGACCAAGCTGGGGTTGAGCAGTTTGCAGAAGAGGAGACTCCAGGGAGACCTTAGAGCCCCTTCCAGCATCCAGAGGGGCTCAGAAGGAGCTGGAAAAGGACTTTGGACAGGGGATGGAGCAACAGGATAAGGGTGAACAGCTTCCCACTGCCAGAGGGAGGGTTAGATGGGACATTGAGAAGGAACTCTTGGCTGAGAGGATGCCCCTGGCAGCTGTGGCTGCCCCTGGGTCCCTGGAAGTGTCCAAGGCCAGGCTGGACAGGGCTTGGAGCAGCCTGGGATAATGGAAGGTGTCCCTGCTCATGGCAGAGGGGTTGGAAGTGGATAATCTTTAAGGTCCCTTCCAACCCAATCAAGTCTGTGAGTTTATAATTCTACAGAGCAAGGCCTGACATGGGTCTGTCACCTCAGCAACCCCAGGGATCCACCTGCTCCCCATGGGACATCACTGGGAAATCTGGCAGGGGTCACATTGTGTAGAACCATTCCTGACCCTTGGCAATTAAAGCTGGTGCTGTCAGACACAGTAAGTCATTCTGCTGGTGGGACCGTGGGAAGGAGAGTTATGCTGGGAGAAGGGAGTCATTCCAGTATTGATTTCCTTGTGTTATGAATGTGAGAAGTGATTAAGGATAAATACTACACTGGGCCACTGACTGTCTCAATAATGCAAGCTGAGTAAGTACCATTAAGCAAACATTAAGAATGTTTAATAATAATTTTGAATTTTTAAGAATGATCCTCCTTTTCTTGACTCTCATGAGACCACATCTGGTTGTGGCATTCAGTCTGGCTCCTCAGGCACAAGAAACATGTTGATAAAATTCAGTGGGTCTGCTGAAGAGACACCGAACCAGTCAGGGATCTGGAGAACATATTCTGCAAGGGACATTTCAGGGGAAAGGGACTGTCCAGCCAGGAGAGGAGGTGGCTCTGGGGACTTGGTGCAGCCTGCTGGTACCTGCAGGGACATTCGTGAGAGGACAGACACAGGCTCTTTTTGCGGGTGTGCAGCAGCAGGAGGACAGAAATGGTCAGAACATGGAAGAGGGAAAGCTCTGAGTCAACAAAAGAAAAAACATTTCATCATAATGACAGCCAGGTTCTGGAACTGGCAAAATTTCCATCCTTGGAGGTTTTGGAGATCTAACTAGGTAAAGCTCTGAGCAATTTGGTTCTGAATTCTGTATCAACTACTCTTTGAGCAGGAAGCTGAACTAAAAATTTCCTCAAGTGCCTGAATATTCCACAACATGTAGATTACAAATTCCTGAAAGGCTTTATAAAATTTCCAGAGAAAGAGACAAATTTTCACCATTTGTCACCAAAACATAAATGGCAAATTCCAGCCTAAAGAAACGGTATCAATTTGCACATATGTGCCATAAGCAATAATATTCCATTATTCAGCTATCTGGCACATTCACCCCCAAAAACTTCTGTGGAAGCTGGTGAAATTCAGCACATGCCTTCTTAGATGTGGCACTTCCAGCAATTACAATATTTGAATGGTAGTTCTGTACTGAGAAATTCACTTCCTAGCAGATCTACCAACCCGGTGTTTGTGATATGCAAGAGCCTTCTACCTCCAGAAGCAATTAAAAACAAATGTTTAAAAACCTCACTGCAGTCAGCATATTTCCTGACATCAAGCTAAAGAACACAAACAAAGAGAAATGCAAGAGCATTCCCAATAAAGCATGCAGGAACACAACATGTAGTCTCCTTCCCCTTCCCATTTGCTCTTCAGCCTGTTCAGCCCAGCAGCATGGCACCAACGAGCCAGCCTGGTGCACACACAGGAACGAGGCAAATCCAAACCCAGAAACACACAGGCACAAAGAGAAAAGAGGCAAAGCATGAAGAAGCATGCACAAAACAAGGACAAGCGTGCAAGCCTCTCTAGTTTGGTATCTGGACTCGGTTAGGTGGAGAGAGATGCAGATAAAAACCATGCCAAGTTACCTTCAATGGAATAAGAATAATGTGCTGGGCTGGGCTGGCTTGTGGTTAACCCTGTAGTGCAGGTAAGAACACTGTGCTGACTTGTAGATGGAGTCTGAATTAAACCACTTTCAGGTTTCATACCTGGCCACAGTGCACCTGAATCAGATAAATTGGACCAGTTACAAACAAATATGCTGGGACCAAAGAGCATGCTCCTCAGATTAAGATTTTTGCTCATCATAAAAGCAAGTAACAAATGAGACATGGAAAATGTTTAATTTCGGCAATAGTAAGTGCTGACTCTCAGGCTGTGCAGGGATTAGAGCTGGTGACAAAATGGCTGAAAAAGAGAAAATTAAAAGCACCAAGAAGACTTGGTGGGATGAATATTTTATACCAAGCCACAAGTCAGTAATTTTCCTAGACTGACAACAACAAATATAGAGCTAAAAAAAAAAATTTAAAATCTGAATGTCTTTTCCAGACTTCCTGTTGTTTTGGAATGCTTTTGTAAGAACCCTGGGCACAGCATAGAGAGCAGAGTGATTGTAATTATGTGTACAGGGCACACTCAGCATGTGGCTCAGCTTGGGTGTTGTGTTAAGGTCTCTGCACTGATGGGTGCCAACAGTGTCCAACTGAGGCAGCTCAGCTCAGGCCTTGCTCTTCAGGACTCTTCAGGCTTTCATGTGAGTGCCTCCAATTCTACAGCCAAAGTCAAAGACAGTTCTCCCTGGCCCTGGTTAGGAAGCAGAAATATTTTGAGAGGATCTACTTACAAACAAGCAGGAGTGTGCAAAGCAGAGGGACAAAGGACATTCGGAGCTTGACAGAGTTCAGGGCCATCAGAAAGACCACCCTCTTTTTAAGCACCCCAAAAACAGTACCAAGGCTGTGGAAGCCACCTGCAGCCCTTCACCCACTCCAGCAGGACTGAGCCATGGGCTATGAGCTCTAGGTTTCTTACCTAAAAGACATGGGAGACTCCATCAAGCTGGATATGAGCAGCAGCTCCAGGAGGTCCTCCATGCTGCAGCTTTGTCAAAATTAAATTTTGCAATGGCCCTCTGATTTATTTACATATCTGATCTCAAACTGACATCTATAAGACAACTTAAATCACTCCCCTCTGCACAGTTACCCCAGGGTTTGACTCTTTAACTCTCAAGTTATGTCTTTGTTAAGGTTTCAAATCTCCAGAACCTCAATAATTAGCAAACGAAAAGGAAAGGCTGATTTAAGAAAGACTGTAGATACACTGCAGAAACTCCAGAACAAAACATATGGGAAAAAGATCCTCCAAGGAGCGTGGGAGCAGCTGTGTTTGTTTAGCCTGGAAAGGGAGTGCCACCATCTCCAAACGGGTGAGCAGCTTTCACAGGGTACAGTAACCAGAAGCTCCTCAGGGCACAAGACAGAGGGACAAGGAGCAGTCAGCAACACAATGAGATGCTCACATGACATGCAGAAGTGCCAAAGAACCAGACAGTGAAACACAAACCCACCCTGGATGCCATGGGATCATGAGCACACAGGGAGTGTGGCAGCAGGTCAGACACACACAGAGGTGCTGGCAGTGCTGGCTGGTGCCAGTGCAGGAGCTGATTCATGTATTTGCTAAGGCATCTTTCAGCCCCTGCCTTCCAACACTATCTTGCTGTCACAGGCATGTCCTTTATACTTCCTAAACAGCCAGGCACACTCCTGGACTGGTGGCACATGTCCTTCCCCTCTCATTCTGCAGGCAGCATTATAAGCTAGCACAGCTTCAAGGATGATTGAGGAGAAGCTGTGAGAGGGGGAACAAGACTCTTCCATGTCCAACAGCAGCACTTATGTCACAGAATGTCACAGCACACATACATGGAAAGGCCCCACACAGGATATCCCATCACTTGTAGGTTTTTTTTGAATTAATGTAAGCCATCACATCCATGGTGCTTCTAAAACCAGCTTACAGCTACACATATGCAGCCTGGATGTCACTACTCTTATTTTAATGCTTCTTTAATAAAATCTCTCCAGACCACAAGGGCATCCCATGCAGAACAACGCACTGAACACCAAGAGGGGTGACAAATCAGGAAGAGGAGAGGTCATCCCTTCTCTAAAAGGAGCATCCTGACTTCAGCTGCCTCCAGACTATGCTTGTGTCTGTCAGCTTGCTTGAATTTCATGCTGGTTTGTTCCAGTTAGATAACCCATGGTGACTTCTTTCTGGCATAGAAACAAATACACAGTAGAAAGACATCCCAACCTCTGTAACAAGCCCTCTGCTGCTGGCAAAACCAAGTTGTTGGCCCTCATCTGCTCACTGAAGATTTTATGAGTAGAAACAATTTCCAGAATTCCCTCTGCAGAGGATTCCCTTCAATCCTCCACCTTCTACCTCTCCATCAAACCGTGCCAGGTCCATCTTCTCAGCAGGACTCAGCAGGTACCACTCCACTATGATTTCCATTACTAGAAATAATGACTTTTAACATCTTCCTAACACTTGATTTCACACTAAAAAAATCAGGTATTTAACAACAGACCTCAAAATCAACATCAAACATTTTAGTAACTGATGACATTTTGTATAATTTACAGGCAAAAGCTCCTTTGAAGTCAACAGAAAATGCAGATCTCCTTCCAGGTCTTCAGAAGAATTTCTAGTGTTACATTTAGACTGTGATATTGAAGCACCCGAGCACCCCTGCAATCCAGAACCTTTGGCTTTAAAAAAACAAACTCCCCCCAAATATAGTCACCACTACTGCAACCAACAAAACATCACACACACAACACACTAACAAAACCCCCACACCTTCCCTCCCTCCTTCCAAAATTGTAGAAATCTAAACCACTGTTTTAAACAACTTCACTGGACTACTCCACATATTTACAAATGTTTGCCTTTAAAAACACCAACATGTGACACACTAAAACACACAACAGCACACAAAGCAACCTCAATGCACCATGCACAACACACTATCAAGAAGCACCAAATAAATGAAGCAAACCATCAGATACAGCAAAAAACAGTGCAAAAACGTACTGAAACCAAAGTTCTGGCACCCAGTGAGGAGTATGTTCCAGCAACTATTAGTAATCACAGTATTAGTAATTTAACTTATGTTTAACAAAGCCAAGTCTGGATTTATTATCTTTCCTACACCATCTTTCAAATACATAATGACAAATCAATTGTTTTGTAACCTTTACAAAAGCCCATGTTCTGTCAGCAGCTAACAAAAGCCAGAAATGAAGCTGTCTTTATTCAAAGACATCTAATTCTTTAACTAAAGAAAAAATCATCCTTACACACATCCAGGTACTAAGATTTTAGCATTACAGATAAATCTGCAAGAGGCTCAGTGCACATGGCTGTGCAGTACAACCACAAGCCCTTGAGACAAATACTTAGAATCACAGAATGGTAAAAGTTGGAAAAGACCTTTAAGATCATCAAGTCCAACCATTTATCCAGCACCACCATGTCCACTACTAAACCATGTCCTCTGCAAGGGGTGGTGACTCCACCACTTCCACAGGCAGCCAGGGTGCTCCCCCAAGTTCCCTGTATGGTGGGGGGATGCTCCCCCCTCTCATCAGTGTTGTAAGCTAAGGGATAAAACAGCCTCTGTTCCCTTCCATTTTTTGGGAGCTGCATTTGCAAAGACTGGAACAGCTATCAAAAGGGTTCAGTTATTAGAGCAAATTAAGCAAATGAAGCAAATTATTTGCCTAGTAAACTTGAAGACGTTTTAGCATGAGCTCTCATTTAGTGAAAGATGAAATAAAAATGTCTTAATCATGTTCAACAACAAGGAAAGGAGAAAGGAGAGAAAGGAAGGAGAGAAAGGAAGGAGAGAAAGGAAGGAGAGAAAGGAAGGAGAGAAAGGAAGGAGAGAAAGGAAGGAGAGAAAGGAAGGAGAGAAAGGAAGGAGAGAAAGGAAGGAGAGAAAGGAGGGAGAGAAAGGAGGGAGAGAAAGGAGGGAGAGAAAGGAGGGAGAGAAAGGAGGGAGAGAAAGGAAGGAGAGAAAGGAAGGAGAGAAAGGAGGGAGAGAAAGGAGGGAGAGAAAGGAGGGAGAGAAAGGAAGGAGAGAAAGGAAGGAGAGAAAGGAAGGAGAGAAAGGAAGGAGAGAAAGGAAGGAGAGAAAGGATTTATGGTATGGCGTGTTGTGTCGTTTTACTAAGAAGGAAACTGCACAAACACAGCTATACCACAACTAGAGACAATTATGATCCCAAACCAAGAACCATATGGCAAACTTCACGGGGACATCCAAAGCAACAGCTTAGTAAAAAATCTTATTTTTTAAGTTGAAGCCCCATCAAGAGATTAGTGCCCATCTACAATTTAAGCTATGCACGTGCTCTCCTACAAACTCTTCCCTCCAACACACCTTAAGCTTAACACTGGCTTTTTAATGAGATATAAAACAGTAATTGCAGGCAGGGAGAAGTCTTTGAAAAGTCACTTTTTACCGAAAGGAGGTAGTCCGTAGGTCTGGGTGGTCTGGGGGTAGATGGTGTAGGGCTGGGACTGCTGTAGTGCTTGGTACTGAGGCTGAGCAGGGTAAGGGCTCATTGTTTCCGACACTGGTACAGAAAGGATATGTGCATATGGCCTTGGTGAAAAGAGAGAACAAAAGTCAGAAAGAACTGTTTACATTATACATCTTTCAGCCTTATTAACACGTTAAAAAATTGCTCCAGAAAGGAGAAACTACTCAGACTGACATGTCCTCTTAATGCAATAAGCTCCTCGTGCTTCCCAAGGCAGGCTCTTGAGTTTACAGATGCTGCCAGCTTCCTGTGGTGGCAGCAGGGAAACTCCCTCCTCCACAGTGCCAGAGCCCCAGTGCTCAACCAGGACTGGGAGGGACACACTCCCCATTCCAACAGGCACGAGTAGTCAGTCTCACTAATCATGCCTTGCCACACCAGACCCTGGAGCTACTGTTATCTACTGTAAGAACCAGTGGGACACACACAGAAACTACACAAAAACAAGCAGCAGGGGTTAAAGCCTATCCTGCTTCAACAGGAAGAACTACAAAGATCCATGAACACAATGAATGATGAGAAAATCTTACATTCCCCTTACATTTATTTATGCTCAACTTGTTTATTTGACAAATATTATGTGCATTATTCTTACTTAATTACTTAAAGGGCTTCATTTATCTTTGTGAACATAGAACAACAGTCACTAAAGCTAAAGGGTGAATTCTTTAAGTTCAGTGTCCTCAGCAATGAGTATCTGCTGCCAGTAGTGGGATTTACTGCACTAGAGAAATGCATAAAGATACAAAAAGATTACTTCAGAGAGAAGTAAGAGTTACAGAACTCAGTAACAATTTCTTGACTTACTTTGCAGAATACATTTGTGAGGTATAATCATTTGATGACCTTGGGATATAATCAGTGCATGTCATAACTGAAAAAAAAATAGTTTGTGTAATTTTAGAGGTGCTTTCAAAACCCAACAAATAAAGACAAATATCAATACTAATGGTACATTTTAGTCAACATACAGTATTTACAAAGAGTTTTAGTGCCTGAATATCTGCTTTAAAGCGAATTCTCAAAAACACACTGTTAAACTGGCAGAAAAATGTTTTGCCAGCTCTCAGCAGGTAGATCAGTCAGTCACACTATTCATCTCTGTGAAACAGTGCTCTTTCTCTTTATCAGCTGGTACTATAATTTTTTGCAACTGTCATAAAAAACCCCTTTGATTTCAGTCCTCCCCAAAACACTGCATATTTGCTAAAGGGGCTTCATCTGCACCAAGTGTAACATTTCTGTGTCCTGGAGCAGAGACCAAACCTCTGTTTTGCCATGCTTTCCTCTGCCCCTAAATACTCTATCCAGCAAACAGTCTTTCCTGCAGAAAGGAACAGCTCCAGTTCAATGAATTTAATCACATCCATCCAGTGAAGTGCACAAAGCTCAGAGATCCCTCTAATGTAACCAGATGTTGTCATTTTTCTGCTTCAATAAATCCACAGCCATTGCACTCTGGAGCTGGTAAAACAGAGTGGCTCAGCTGGCAGCCCAGGGAGGAACTGTCTCAATGTTCTCAGTCAGCACAGCCTGGCTCTGGAACACCTGGTGTGACAGAGCTGTTACACACTCCAGGTTGGGCTGGAGATGGGGGCTTGGGCTCCTGTGGCTTAATCCAAGGCCATTAAACACCCCTTGGATTCACATCAGCTGATGAAATACTCAGCTGTCCATCAGACCAGGAAAGCAGCAATGGGCAGGAGCCCAGCAGAGAATTTGGCCCATGCAGCCTGTGTGGCACGTGCCACCAGCACAGGGCAGCACGCTGCTGGGAGCTGCTGGGACTGGCTCTGCACAGCACGTGGCTTTATCAGCTCGGATCTGTGACACCATACCCAAACCCACAGCAAACACAGCTGCACTGCTGTGCATCCCTCTGATTCCCCTCTGGAAGGAAAGCACCCAGGGCTTGCCCAGGAGGTAATCCAGGCTAACAGTGTACCCCTTGTGCAGGCCATGGGACCCTGCTCCCCAAAAACTACCACTACAAGAGACCACATTCTCCCTCTCCCTCTGGAGTGGCCCAATTAACAGCCCTCAAAATGGTACAGGGTCATGGATAACAGCATACTCTGCTTTGGGATTTGATCCAAATGCCAATAATGTGCTCAAAAAAGTTGGGTTTTCCATATTGGACCTGTATTATTGCTCTTGTATGACCACACAGTAAACTTCCCTGAGTTACAATGAGGAAAGCAAGACAGTGTCACAGACAACTCTAACCCTAATGTGCATTCTGCCACCTCAATAACCTTCGCTTTGTGTAATCTGAACACAAGCTGAGAACTACAAACCACCAACCACGTGTGCTGAACCTCCCAAATGATCCATGAATCACCCTCCTCTGCTCCTCAGTGTTTGCCTTTACTCATAGTGTGCACAAGGATACAACAGGAAACACAAACTGGGAACTTTTGGACCTAAAGTCTTTCCTCTAACGCTTGTCAGTTCCCACATGTTTAGGATTTGTAGCGGGGTTTTTTAAGAATATCAATATTCATCTGAATAGTTATGTAGTAATTATATTTCTAGAATTTGTATTTATAAAATTGCATACAAAGACTTAGGCAATGGTGTAAAAAAAGAAACAAAATCACACAACAATGCTACATGCAACTTCTAGGATTTGTAAATAGTTTATCCAGTTAGGCAGCAGGTTTTGCAGGATGAAATTTCTCATAACTCCTGCAACACCACAGTACATGGATTAAAATAGCAATGATTAAATCAATTACAATGGAAAGTTACACCTTACACACTCTTAGCTAAGATGAGCTGACTTACACTTCGAAATATGTATTGGTAGCCAAAGGTATTCCACACAGGAATCTGATTTTCCTAGTAACTTCCAGCCCTCTTTTTCCAAGAGAAAGGATATACTCCACTTTTCACTAAGTATGCAATCTTTGTATTCCCTGCCTGTTTCCTCCCTGTTTATTTCCTAAGAGCTTTTGCAGACATTCAATACAACCCAGTCTAAGATGAAGTGTATGGCATATTGCTACAAAGGACCCAACCAGCTGCATAGAGATAATGATCTATAAAACATGTTTACTATAGGCATCACAACTGATATTGACTCAACCCTCAAGAAGAATCATGTCTGAGGCAGGTAAGACACAGCAGTACTCAGAAGCACCAACAGCCAGCAGAGGAGCAGCGACACAAAAATAGTTGTTAGAAACAGGTATTTCCTTACCATCAGGCATGAACAGTTTGTAAACACTACAGCAAACGTTCACTTTACAACTGATAGTGAGGGCAGGCTAAGGATTACAAGGAGGCGACAAATCTTGTGGTTGATGAAGCATGGTACCAGGGAAAGACAAGAGGAAAGACAATGGGCAACTCCAGAGATACTCACTCTCACTGGACATGGGAAGGTTTGAACCAAGGTTTGTAGATTCAGTTTTCTGATCACTGACTTCTGTGCTGCTCACATGACTGCCAGGAAAACAAAGGTTCAGGATTAGCATTATAAACTCTTAAATTAACAACCTTGGGCATCATAACCCCCTATCTGACCAAGGCAAACTAACTCTTCACAAAACCTAGCCCTGTGCTCTTTCCTATTTCATTAAGAGATGCTGAGAGAGATCTGCAACTGGAATTAGACATCACACTATATGGGGTTTGAGTGGTCAGGGTTTGGTAGAGGGGGACTGCAGGGGTGGCTTCTGTGAGAAACACCTCTTGGCATCTCCATTCCATCCCCCCAAGCTGCAGCAGCCAAGGAGCTGCTGCCAGCAGTGGTGCATGACCCTGCTCCCACAGGCTCTCCTGCCCATGGGCATTGCCTCACGGCTGGATTTGTCCCTGAAAACCAGGGTTGAAACATCCTTGAACTGGGGGTCACTTCTGTACATAAATATTTGCAGGTTACTGGATTATTTTGGATTTGTGCCACATTGTTTCAGTTCTGTGTCAATGTTGCTTTGCTCATGTATAGAGTAGGAAGTACACGTAACTTCTGAAAGAAATTGTTTTTTGCTCAATTATTGCCTCCCAGGCTTTAGTTTTATTATTGTTAGTTCTGCAACACAGCTTTTCATGAGGTTTTGAGCCATCTGTGTGCTGTCCTGACATTCTGAAACTGCAGTTTCTCAAGGTGAAGGAGCCAAAGGAACTGTTTATTGCTGCTGAGGGGGGACTTCCCCTCTTGTAGCTCAGATGTGCACCAAGCATGGTGCTTTCTGCCTCCCTCCATGACCTGACTCCATTCAGCATCCCAACAAAAAACAACTGCACAGTTTTGTGTTAGATGAGCAAATTAAACTCTCAGGAAGAGCCTAAAGGTGCCTGAGCTGGACTACACAGGGAGCAGGAGGCTGTATGAGAAATAAACCCAAATCTTGAACACCTTCCCCCACCCATCCCTGCTTTCTGGGCTCAACTAAACTGAGTTTTTCTCCCTCCTCCACCTCCTGTAGTGCAGGGGAATGGGAGAAGTAAGTCCAATAAATTCTTTTCAACTAATCCATTGGTCAAACTTAAAATCATGTATAGCTTTATCGAAACAGAGCTAAAATATTTAAACAGAATATTTAATCAAGTTAGAAATGCAACTTTATCCCTCCCCTCTTTTCTGTTTTTAAATACTCTGCGTCTACAATTTTAAAATATAAGGATGTTTACACTCAAATCTTGAGCTCCCTGTGCCCATAGGGAAGGTGTGGTTGTGCAGAAGCAGGGTGACACAGAGGGAGAAGGGAGAGCCCCCACAGCATGCTCAGACCTGCCCATGCTGCCCTCTCTACCTAAGAGAGGGAAAAAACCCTCCCTAGGATCTGATTTCTCTGACCTCAGATGGGCCAGAAAGGGAGCTTGATTAGATCAAAATTCTAATTTTGAGAATATACCACATCCACTCCTACAGAAATGGTGTTTCCTCCTTGCTCTTACTGCAATGGCAGAGACTCCAAAAAGGAGTCGTTCCTCATAGTATTGCAAATGCAGGTGAACCCAGTGAGAAGAAATTATGATGTCTGACTCCAGTTCAGAAGGCTGAATGCTTTTTTTATTATAACTATACTATAATATATTAATATACTATTTAAAGAAGATACTAAAACTACATATATACTTTTTCTAACTACCCAATCTAACTCCCTCACAACTCGTGACCCTGTTCTCAAGACTCCAGCCCCAGGTGGGTTGGATTGGCCATCAGGCTCAAACAATCCTCACCAGAATTTAATCAAGCACTCACTCCAGGTAAACAATTCTCCAAACACATTCCACATGGGAAAACAAGGAGCAAAAATAGAAATTGTTTTCTCTTTCTTTCCTCTGTGCTCCTCTATGAAAAAAATCTTGAGAGAGAAGAATGTTCCTGCCACACTCATGGTATTTGCTGCTAGTCAGAGAAGCAGAATACAATACCCATCAAAAAACATCTACTAAGGGTAAAAATAGTATCACACAACAGCTTTAAATAAGAGAGGCTACAATTCAAGAGTTTCACTTCTCAAAGCAGTTATCCACAGAGTTTCACTAAGAATAGTAGTACAGATGTTATTAAAATATCCTGAGTCTCACCAAATTAAATGCATGCTATTTCAGTCTCATTCTGTGAAAGAGGGGTGTGCTGATGCCATTAAGACTTTGTTTCCACTTTTAAAACAGCTTTATACCATAGGGCTAGTTAATTATTTTTTATTTGGAACTTAATCAAAATTACACCAAATCCAAATACAACTATATTTTCCATAGCTCTGTAAAAAATAAATCAAGAGGTGAATTTCTAAAATGAAAGCTTTATAGCTGTAAAAGACCATAAAGAAATGTTACACACTAAAATAAAACTTAAAATCCTGTACCTCAGGCTCTGTTCTCTGGATTCCTGCATCTTGGCTTTTTTCACCTGCAAAGACAAAAATGTTCAGAGCTACAAGTAACACAAGCTGGAGGGTTCACAGTGGTGGCAAAATACACAGCTTTGTCCTGCACTCCAGAACTCACTACAGGAACCACGGGCTCCTCATCTCAAAACAAGGCTTTTCCTTATTAGAAAAGAAGGGCTAACACTGAATTTTGTACAGCAGAATTGTCATATTAGTTACATTAGGAACAGCTGCTGAGATATACAGCCACAAAAAATGGCTGGTAAGGACAATTTTGTGGAAATTAAATCAAACAGTCGTAAATTTTAAGAAAATCTCATTCTGCACAGATTCAGACTACAGCCACAAACTTTATTCTTTTTTCCCTCTATTTTAATATTGCATAAAGATAGGAACATGAATGTTTTTTTCTGTAATAAATCAGGAGTTTTGACTCCTGACTAAAACCAATACAGCACTTTTTTTCATTTTGTAGGTGCCAGCTGGAACCTGTCCCTGTACAGGGTATTACACCACAGACAGCACTGGCTTGAACACAAATTTGGTTTCTGCAGGCTACAAACATTACTGTGAAACTCTCAGAAGGATACCAAGGTGAGTTTCTCCTGCAAGAACATGCCATTACTACGTCACTCATTCATTATGATCCATCTAGTCTCATATTCTGTTGCAGAATGACTGACTGGTATCATGTACTTAAAAGAAATTACCAAGAAGATCTTGAGCTGAATATTACAGCAGAATCTGCTTAAAGGACACACCACTGAAAATTAGCTGTACCCTATCTCTCATGCCCTAAAGAATAAAGACAGTTTTCATTATATTAGGATGTATTTAGAGAGATTTCCTTTTTTAGTACAGGCAATTTTTAAACTCCTCAAATACCTGTAGTACAAACTATATGGTTTTGCTGCTTAGTTTCACATTTTGTGGATATTACTCAGGCCCATCATCTGCAGCTTGTGGCAAGCCAGGTTCTGAATAATTTTACATTAAATAGAAATTTTACATTTCCATTTAATTTGACTTTGTTCGTAAGTCATAAAATTGCATAAATGACATTACAATGTGTTTTCTAACTAGTTTAACTGAAGAATATTAAATTCTCACATTAGAAAGGGATCAAAATCTTTTCAATTACAACACATCCAAAGCGCTCTCAAGTACATTATTCTGTTTCTGTGTGCATTTGACAAGGTCTCCAAGATTACAAGGATCACTCCCATTGTAACTTGGCAATTTCTTGTTGGAGTTTGTGCCAGGTTTATTTTGGGAACAGAACGTTAATACAAACATTTCTGCTTAGTTCCTTAGTTTTAGATATACAATTTAATTAATCTCATACTGTATTGCTAATGCTCTACCCAGAGAATTAATGTTATGTGCTGTGTTAATATCAGTTATTGATAATGCAAACACTATTGCAAATACTTCACATGTAGCAACTTTAACGTTCAGACATGCTTCCCTACCCCAAATCAGCCATTTAAAAATGCCTTCCACTTGTGGAAACAATTACTCACAGGATCTTTTCAAGATCTTAAGCATAAGAAGAATTAAAGACTATACACTGTAATATCCAGCATGCTGAATTTGTCCCCAAAATAGTGAATTTTATTTTCTCTACAACAGGCCTGAGATAAGTCTGGTTTTCTGAGCATAACAAATAATCATTTTGTATAGAAACATCATAAAGTTCAAGTACATATAACTATTCCTTTATTACTACTGCCTGTACAATTACAGTAAATTAAATGTACAGCACATTTTACAAACAACAAAAAGCTTTTTGTCCTCTTGATAAATACACTAAGTACAAGCCTTCTTTTCCAATATTAGTTAAAATAACTGTATACCAAAATTGTGAGATCACTAATTTGTTTTAGATTTTAATTTTCAGCCTTTTTTACATGTACTTACTGGTTGCTCGGGTAAGTCTTGTGGCTCTTCCATGGGTATTACTATTTTAATGCTTAAATGATTCAAATCGTGTGTTCCTCAGCAGTCTTCAAGCCCTGTTAAAATAAGGTGTTCATGGCTTTATGTACTTTTTTGGGGCTTATCATGTAGGCTATCAGAGAATATTAATTGTTACATACTCCTCCCATAAAACTCATGTGGCCATCTCCCAAATAAAATACAAAATTCATATATGGAAAGATTTCATAAACAAGGGATTTAGCTTTAAGCTTTGAGGATACAGATTTTTCAAGCACATGGTACATTTCTACATCATTTACTCGGACCACGCTGACCGCAGAAGCTAACACATTAATCAGACACGTGCACCATGATTTCAAAGACACTTTAAATGATCAAGTCTGGTCTACTAGGTCAGTAAACAGCATGATTCAATCTAACCTGTTTTAATTTAGAACATTTATATAACAATCAAAAAAAAAAAAACCAGGACAAGACTGTACACCTAAATGAATTTACACACAGTGCTGTTCCCCACCAAATTCACAAAGCAAGTTCATTATTTCAACCAAACCTTTCAAAAAGAGAAGTTTGATGAAATTTTATAAAAGAATGTTTATTTTACAAGCATTTAGCAGAGAGATTTTATATACTACATCAAAAAGCTGCTGCCTTCCAGTGGCTTAAAATCATGAAAAAGAAATTTTGCATAATATTTTCACAACCTGATTAACTTTTGCAATTTGCTGGGCAAAAGAGAAAAGCCTGTGTCATCCTGACTTCCCCCTCTGCCCACCTGATGTGCACGAGCAGTATGATCTGTGTTTTCGTTCTTTCTGCATCACATTTTGGAGCCATTTATTAAAACCAACCCCAACCTCTTCAGAGCAGCTTTTCCTGAGCTGCCTCCTCTGCCACACGCCCACACAGCACAACTTCAGGGGACTGCAGAAATTAGAAGAAATGCTGAAAAACACTTAGGGGGTTGAAGAAGTTAAATCCAGCAACTCTGTGTGCTGAGGTACAACCTATTCCTGCCTCAACAGCCACAAAAGTCTAGCTCTAAGTGTCTGTGGAAATGTGAAAGGCCTATTTTACACACCACTCCTTCCTCTAGGATTTTCTGTTTATCCACCCTGTCTGGAGTATTCAGGCACCTTCAAACCACGGGATTATCCCCACACAAAGTGACTGAACTAGTTTACAGATAAAAGAACTTTCTGGCCTCCTGAAAAGGCCATCTCTGTGCCCTGCCTGGCTCCTGCCAGACCTACTTACCCGGGCAGCACGTGCCGCCCGCGCGCAGCCCGCCGCACGTGCCAGCCCCAGGGATGCTGTGCAGCCTGGCATCGTTTCATGTGAACCACCACCACACAAAAGGCTTCTCCCTCATTTGAGGGCAGGTCTTAAGTGCGAGGGTGTATTGTATGTGCCAGGATAACATTTCATTGAGGGTTTGAGGATTCTGCAAGGCTGCCACCCCTAATCAAAGCCACTTACCCTTATTGCCTGAACTCTAAGTCAACTGAATTTACAGTTAGTCTTTTCCATAATTCAGGTTCTTTGGAAACAACCCTTTTCACAAGTCTACAATACAAAGCACTACTGTCACCTTTGCAGCTGTTCCTCCACCAGTTTCAATCAGTTTCATTTTAAATATAAATGTTATTTACTTTTTGTAGAAATAACACAGAAATTAGGACTGAAGAGAAACTGTGCCACTCAGAGATTATACAAAGGAGTACAAAATACAGCGGCCAAGAGCAAAAAGATTTGAAATCTATACCAAGAGGTCCTGTCCCTTGTCCTACCCTTGTTATTTAACACTGTTTTGATGTGTAATTTCATAGAAGAATTCCAAAGAGAACTCTTTGTATGGAAAAATATTTTACATTCCACTGATCCGTATAGCAGTAACTTCCCATGCCATGCTTTGCTTAAAAGCTGTGAGTAGTTCTTTAATTTTGTGTGGGAGTCCAGGGCATCCCTCTGGCTGCCCTGGCAGGTCTGGGACCCTGGCAGGGGTCAGGAACCCCCCTGGAGCCCCCAGAGACACTGTCTGTGATCTCTGTCCATGGAAAAGAGTTTTCAATCTTACAGGATGAATTACCAGCTCTGAGGGTTTGATATAAGAAATAATTAAGTGTGGCCCGGGTGCAAAAGTAAAATTTTAGGATTCTAGATTAGGGGTCCAAAGGGGACAAGATGGAGGAAATTGGGTGTGTCTTGTCCTTTTTCTCCTTCTTCATGCCCTCCATGTTTCACTGTGGTGTTGGCATTTTTCTGTTGGTTCAGGCTGGGGACACACTGTCCAACGTAGGTGACAGATATTGGCACGTTATTGTAAATCCAGCACAGGTAGTTTGTGGTATTTAATGTTTGTACCATCCCACTGAGGGCAGAGCCCCACACGCTGCCCTGCAGGACAGAGCTGCGGCAGGGCAGCAGAACATGTTGGAGATAAACAGAATAAACAACCTTGAAACCAGCACAGACCAATTATGGCTTCTGCTTTGGCAACGGGGTAGAAAGAAAGAGACTTTTTACAATCTCAGAATCATCAATACCACAGATTCCAACAATTTTGGTTTTCAGAAGGATTTAAATAATTACAAAGACAGAAAGATTCTCACAGTCCCACTGGAATATCTTATATGTGTGAAGAAAACACTATTTCCAAATAAGCTGGGCACCTTGTAGCACCTGGAAGCGAAGTGGACCAAAATGACTGGACCAAAGCAAACAAACAGAAAGTGCCTGCCTTAACGGCAGTCAGAACTTGACCTCTGGTGGTTTCATGCCTTCTCCCAGGGAAGTGAGAATTCCAAGTGAGAACTTGGCCTAGGGTGGCTTCATGCCTTCCCTGGACCTCCAGAAAAAGCAGCAGGGGCAGAGGACATCTCACACTCGAGGTGTGCTGTGGTTCCTCAGACCAAGCAGCTGGGTGAAACGGAGGCGCTGAGCTCCACGTTTGAGGGCATCCTCCCCCAGCCAAGGGCAGCAGCTTCCAGTGTGTGGGGAAAGGGAGAGCTCCTGCCTCTCCTACCCTCCTGCACCACATTCCTGCCTGCCTGACACTCCCTCCTTCCTGGCCACCACGGGCCATCCACAACAGTCTGGATGTAGGATGTGCCAAGGGAAAAGAAAGAGAAGAAAAACCAGAGAAACCCCAGCACAGTCTTTCTGCTAAGCTGATGCCAGGAAGATCAGCTCTGGCCCTGAACAGCCCTGTTCCAGGGGAGCCAGCAGGATGAGGGTCAGGAAAAACACACAAGCAGAGCAGCAGGATGTCCCTTTTCAGCCACAGCCGTGATAAATGAAAGCACAATTTTATCATCTGCTTGATGTTCCATTTTGATGAAGCAGAGACATGACAGTGATAAACACACAATGGCCTTTTCACCTGTGTCACCCACCCAGTCACCAGGTTCTCACGCAGAGCGGGCACATGTCTTCTTGTGGCTGGGAACACAAAGTCCTTGGATCATGGCATGGCAGGAACCTCTCCCAGCCTCTCTCCTCCTGCACTGAGAGGCTGAGTGAAGCTGCTGCCAGCTCCAAGGCTGAAGCCACCAGCAGGATCCAGGGAGCAGCTGCTCCTGCCCCACTCATATCCCTACCAGCCCTCTCCACCACAGCGAAGCCCCAGCTGCCCTCCAGCCCAGCCCCTGGTGGGTACATTCCCCAGGGGCACCCTCCAGGAGCTCTTGGACACCTCCTCACCCAGTTTGAGAGGTCTGAACCACCCAGAGCTTGGCCTTCCCAAAAATCAAACCCAGCATCTTGCACTTGCTCAGCCTGAGCTGCCTCAGAGGAACACACTGAGCCAGCAGCTCGCCAGCAACAAGGGTGATGTTTAAAAACTGAAAATACACAACTGATTTTTTGTTGGGTTTTTTTGGGATTTTTTTGGTTTTTGGTTGTTTTGGCTTTTTTTTTGCACGTCAAATCTCAAAATTAGATTTTAATTTGTATAAAACTCAAGTTAGCTGCACTTCAGGTAGGCTTTATTATCTTTTTACACATTGCTACAGAACATTTTTAAACCCTAAGTGAATACAACACTAGAGATATCAAAGATTCAGGAGGTGAGAATGCTCCTGTGGGCCACTGGGTTTGTGAATGAGAAATACAGTACAAAATGGAAGCAAGTGTGCAAGAAGCCATTAAATGAGCTGCTGCAATGAAAGAAACATCCAGAAAAATGAGTCCATTGTTCTGCTTCTGGAAACCAGCAAAGTACCATACTGCTTTCCTTTCTGGGACGATTTTTGTTAATTACCTGATGAAAATTATTCTGTAATATGTGAATTAAATACCAGGTTTTATTTGATCTAGACTTGTTTTGAATAACCACCTTGTTTAATTCCAACTTGCATGGAACACCAACAATGCAAAATATTTAGAACTGGGTTTTTGTGTTAAAAATGTTATTTTGTTTGCTCAACTTTAGGAGCCACATTATCCAAACTTCAAACCAGGAGGCATCAGAGTAGAGGTATGGGCTGCAGAATCCCTCTCAGCAGCTGCCTTCTGCTCTGCATATCTTGATGTTAATAATTCACCATTAAAAGTCCCGGCAAGTGATCTCCAGTTTCTTGCACTAAATCCTGTTTTAAAAATCCTAAAATACAAAGCCCAGCTTGGTCAGACTTTCTTAAACTAGATACTCTGGATAGAATTTCTGAAAGCTGCCTGCTATGAGCAGCACCTGGATAGACTGCTATTTACTTTCAGATTGTGCTTTTCAAGTCCATCTGCCTTGGCTTTGAATATAAAGTTTCATACAAGAAACAGTTCTCCCAAGCTGCAAATAATTAAAGTCAGGATACTGTGATAAAACCAACATGCAGTAATTATACTGATTAGGAAAAAAAGCTAATTGACTATGGTTTTATATTACTTTAAAACAGTATTTCCCTAAGAACAAAGTTTTGACTGGGGTAATGAAATTACATCTATTAAAGAGTTGGAATAAAATCATAGGATCATTTACTTTGGAAAAGACCTTCAAGACCATGAGGTCCAACCAACAGCCAGCACTGCCAAGGCCACCACTAACCCATGTCCTGAGTGCCTTGTCTTTTAAATCCCT